ATAATAAAACCTATTCAAGAATGTGTAACGAGAATAGAAAAGTTAGAAAATCAAAAATCGGACAAACTATTATATAAATTACCTGCGTTGAATTTATGCAACGCTTCATTGATTTAAATTAATAATATTAATATGATTCATTAACATTATTAATTAAAAAATATGAATAAGATTTACTAATAAAACTTTGTCTTTCATAATTGATGACTTTAATAGTTATTTTTTTCACATGTAATGAAATAAAATTAACCATATTGTCCCTATACACTAAATTAGTTTCATAAAGGTCTTTATTAAGAAAATAATAAATATCAAATAAATTATTTGATGTTAAAGTACGATTACGAACATGATTCAAACAAGTAAATGAGGTAGATGTAACAAATATATCATATTCAATTAATAATTTTAATGGTTTATGTTTTTGATGTAATTTATCTAACTCACTTAAGTTAAAAATATATGATATGCCGTTATTGATAATATTTTTCATATTGATATTATCAATTTCAAAATATTGTGAATTCTTTAATTTGTAAGACTTATACACTGGTTTAAATTTATTAATATAATTTTTAATAATATTATTATTATTTATTTTTAATAATCTAACATCACCTAAATTATAAGATAATACAAGGTTTTTAATGTCTAATGGTAAATCATAAAATAACATAATATATTTAAATCTTTATTTTATTTTAAATGCTTTTTCAAATCTAACATAAAACATATTATTAACATCTTTGGAATTCATATTAACATAAAAGAAGGAGTAGGGCTTATCATCTACCGCTTTATGATACATATTTAACAGTTGCTCTTTATCAACGATGGCGGAGTTTTCCTCAATGAATGACATTAACTCTGATACATTCTTTAACTTGAAGATATACAACGAACTAGAATTCAACCTAATGATTGGTGCTAGGACACGGTATTTTTGAACGCTTAAACAAAAACTAATGGCGTCGTGTCTGCCTCTCGTTGCCAGTCCATGTAATAACTTGCTGTATCTAACAAATTTAGGGTCGTCTGCAAAATCATCAACTATGATTAAAATTGAATGTAGTTTCTTCATCTTCTGTTCTTTCATATAATGAATTATCTTTCTTTGTGTGTTAATTATTTCTTCCAGTTCTTCAGGTTGGTAGGTGTCATAATATAACTTTTCTTTTTCATCATCAACCTTCATATTATCTTTTTGATATTTCTTGACTTCAACGAAGGTAGGGTCATTATGAACCGACGGGCTAAAAATGAATATACGGGCGAAGCAGTCCCTATAGACATTTAGGATAAGGTTTTGGATTAAAACTGTTTTGCCACCCGTTGATGAAGCAACAACAATTGAGCGAAAAGGTAGTTTTGGTACATGTTCATATTTAGATTGTTTGAAATCGTAATCAGTTATATTTATTGGTTTTATTATTGGAACATCAGACATAATAAAACAATATTAAAGTTATTTAGAAAATATTTTATATTTATTATTTTATATGAATAGAAGTTATTTAAATTATATTGATATAATAGATAAACTAGAAAATATAGAACAAGTAATAATAACCGATAATAAAATTAAGAAATGTTGTTATTATTCATTAGAATTAATTAAGTTAGGAATACACTATATTAAAAAAATAAATATTAATATAGATGGGAAGAAAGAAAAAGAATAAGACCGAGCCAGTTGTTTCTTCAACTGATGAAGAAAAAGCAGAAATTGTTAAAGAAACATCAGTTATTGAGTTTGCTTGTCCAATGTGTAAAAAGATGTTAGAAATGAAAAATGAATTAGAAATACAAAAGAAAGGACATTGTAAATGTTCGTGTATTCCAACAAGTTTCAAAATAAGTAAGAATGATAAGAAAATGAATATTGATAAAACTAAAGACAGTATAAATCTGGAAACGGATGTTCATAATATTGCTATCAAATGGGGAAGGCATGCATCACCATCCGATAATGGTGATAAGGAAACACAGGAGACTGTTAAACAAATAATGAAAAATTAGTATTTAAAGAGTAGATTTAACATAATTGCAACATTTAGTTTTAAAAGTTTAGTTTTATAATTTAGTATATATGGAAGAACATTTAGCGAACATTGACAGTAGTTTAGAGTTGTTGTTTCCAAGATTAGAAAAAGTGTTGGAGCAAAATGAAAACATACTGAACATCTTAAAGAGCATGAATATTAAACCTACATATAATAACAATAACAATTATCAAGCAAAAGAAGTAGATAGAGACAGTAGCGAATACAAAAATAAACGAAACATTTATGTTAAAAAACTGAATGAAAAAGTCATAAAAGAACCTAAACAATCAAGTCTGGATTACTATCAAGTCAAGTATAAAGAAGACACCAAGAAATACGTTTAATCATTAACTAACAAAATTTCGTGTCTCAAAAGCGGTTTGTTTATTCCTGCTACTTTGTAAGTTTTATTACCCATAATATCATATTCAATTTTATCGATATTGAATATTTTATTAGACCATTTAGAGTTATACTCCTTTCTGTCGGTGTAATTACCCCTTTTCTTTTGAAACACTTTTACCTTGTCGTTCTCCTCTATTTTGGGATACTTTCTTTTGTTTTTTTCTCGTAGTTTAAGATTGACCTTTACATTTATTTCATTGTCGTCCTTGTGTGCTTCAGACGGTGTCATCCTTGTTGATGAGTGAGATGTGCTGTTATACTGTTTCAATGCTGGCGTTAGGGCGTCGGTCCATTTCATGTTGTTAAACCTAACTCTATCGTGAATTTTGTTTTTCATCGTTCTAATAAAACGCTCGGCTACATTTGCGTGGGTCTTCGTAACGATGTGGTTTATTCCTTCACTGTTGAAGAAATCCTGAACGTGATTTTTAGTTGCAAACGCTCCGTCGTCATCAGAATACACGGACATCGGATAACCCATCTTTTTAAAGCTTGTTCTCAACGCCTTCAAAACGTGCTCTCCGTCTCTTTCCTCCATCGGTATTACATCAGCTAATTTACTGAAGATGTCAATCACGACTAAAGCATACTGTGGAACGTTCTTGTCTTTTGCTAAAGGTGACATATGCATTATGTCTATTTGATATTCATATCGTGCGAATGGAGCGGTATAGGAATTAGTACCTCTATAATTTTTGATTTGTTTATTTGGTTGTTTCTTTAAGAAAGACTTTACATCGTCTAATGTTATTGTTGGGTCTTCTTCCTTTGCCTTCTTGTGTGTCGCTTGTGTGCTTCCGAAACCCTCGTCTAAGTCGTAATAGATGTTGCTGATTATTTGGTCTTTTGTTAATCTCGCCATTATATTAAATTGTTAGAAAAAATTATCAACATAAACCCCGCCCCTTAACATAAAATAAAAACTACTTAAAGAAATATTAACTTATTATATTAAGTGAAAATATGACTGAAATAAGATTAGAGGACTTGAATTTAGAAAATGTCGGAGTGATTGCTGACTTATCAAACTTGGTGCTATCAGACGAAGAAGATGATGATAATGACAGTTATAAAAAGGAACTAGATGACGAGTTAAACAAAATAAAGGATTTCATCAAAAGACACCCTTTGCCACCAGTTGATGAAAACGAAGAATTCTGGAAAGATGTTATTAACAGGTTTAGGGATAATAGCGGATTAAACTTGATGGCAATATACTCATTTGTTAGGTTTGACATCTTGAAAGAAATGTATGAAAACCTAACAGATGAAGACATCATAAAAGACTGTGGTAAAAAGTTAAACCGAGATGGACAGTTTAATGCTATGATTATTAATCACTATATCTTATCAGGAGCGATACGGAAACTAAACACAGAAGACAGTCTAGTAGATGGTCAGATGCGAATTATTGAATTCTGGTGGGATGGAATAGGTGGATGGAAAGCGTGAGTGATTTAGTTTAATGGTATTATTCAATTATAATATGATTAAACCTAGTTTTTATAATCTAACAACAAGGTTAAGACATTTAAATTAAACCTGAAACCCAGACCAGCCGACCAGCAACACCCTAGCCAAAACTACTTAAAGAAATATTACCTTATATATTAAGAGAAAAATTAACGGTGATGGAATCAATAATTATATCGATAAAAAATGCTATGATTGTTGTCACTTCAAAAAAGAAAATATGGAATTGTATAAATTAAATTTACCTAATGAAATAGTGAATAATATTATTAATTATTCAATGGATGAAAAAGACGAATGTGAAAATTGTCAGGAATGGAGAGATAATCAATTTTTAATCAAATGTCTTTTGAGAATAAAAGGAAGACATAATAGAAATGTAGAAGATGATATTTTAATATTTCTAACTGTAAATAAAATACCACCTTACGATTATGTTAAACAGTTTCTTAAAATCAGTAAGAAAAATATGACATGATTTACGATATATTATGGATGTTGGGTTATAGTCAAGAGAAAGGAGAAGATGTTAAAGAAAATATCAAATTATTTATTGAAAGTAAAAAGTTTAATGTTCAGAATACAGTGAGAGATGTTAATATTATTTTTAAAATGATGTATGAAAGAAGTAAGACAAACCAATTAGATTATTATCCTGAACTGAAATTATAATCATAATATAATAATAACATGTAAAATCTTATAATTATACTGAACTTTTAACCTATAAATGAAAATTAGTGAGAAAAACACTAACAAAACAAATACACCACCAACACCCCAGAACTTGACAACTACTAAAAGGGCCAACTCTTTCAAATGAAAAAAATGTCGGCCCCCAGCCCAACAATGAACAAGGCGACAATTTACCCAAGTGATTACCTTAACGAAAACGATAAATAAGCTCCCTAAAAACCCTCTTTTCAAAACGAATAAGGGGGAACACAGATTTGAGATGAACATAAAAACCAGAACAGGCAACCCTCAACAGGCCACCCCCCGGGCCCCCCCTTTTCTCCATTTCCCCCCCCCCCCCCACAGCACTTACCCAGCGGAAACGGAAACAACCACGGGAGCCTCAGGAGCTTGGCCAACTTGGTGAAGCGCCCTGCGCGCGCACCGAGCTTGGCCACCCGCGCCTGAGCTGCGAAAAAATCGGCGAGCCAGCTGGCCCAGGGTTTCGCTTTGTGACTACCCCAGCGCAGACTTAAACCCAGGGCTGGTGCATTACCCCCAAAAGGGAAACCCCTGCGTTTAAGCCTATCTTGGAGTAGTCAAAAAGTGGAACCCTGGGCTGGCAGTTGTTGCTTTTTTTCCTGGGGAAACGGTGCAACCATAGGTGGCCTGTTGGAAAAATAGATGGCCCTGGTAAATGGAAGAAACTTCACCTAAACCAGTGCCCTTTAATTTTGGTCAAACTAACCTAAAAAGGACACCTATGGGTGCAATTCCATGTCACCTACAGTCTGTCCAATGCACGTGGAAAAGGGGGGGCCAAAGGAAAATCGCCTTCCAACACCCTGTCAGCTTCCATGATTGGTGGAAGGGCACTTGAACCAACCCTCTGTAACTGGACAACTCTTGTTACCCTTTGCACGTGTAAGCTGCTTTGCAACGCTTCGAAACATGCATCACAAGGCAAGCGGCACCCTCTCATGACAGTGGCTCCACTTTCTACTTCATGATCATAACCCCGATTTCCAAGTCCAAGTTTCATCAACACTCACCGAGCTTTCTTTACAAAAACTCAAGTCGTCAAGTCACCCTGCCCGAAAGGAGCCACTTTTTGCGCCAAGCTGCCGCCCTCATGATGATGACATTGTTGGAGACCGTGTCGCCACCCACCTAGCCGGCTCTCGAAGCAAATAAGCCAAACCGAACCGGACGGGCTGCAACCAAAAAGGCGCCTGCTGGTCAGATTGAGTGATGTAGGACAGGTCCAGCAAAAGAGAAGCCTAGCGAATGTTGCCATCTGAAACAAGATCGTGTCAATGGACAAAAGGGCCCTCGCAAAGTCAGGAATACGCAATATGTGAAAGAACCGGACACTAACCAAAAATGGATGCCAAAGCTAAGAAGTGCCCAGCGGCAGCTCCAAGCAAGTCCTTGGCTGCATTGTGCAGGCCACTCAACTCAACTCATGTCCCAACACGAGCTGACATCTGCATCCGTGTGGGCACCTGAATGCTCGTCAAGTTTAGGCCTGCTTGCCAAATATTGCCAAACGAGGCACCATCCAGAAAAAGAAGGAATAGAGGTAGGACTTGGGCATGCCCACGGATTGCACCAAGAGCTCGAAGATGAACAACACGCCCACCTCAGGGTCTGCATGGAATGAATCCCAGTCGCAAAGGGCAAAACAGTCGCCCACGTTTAGGGGAGATGGAATGGGTCACAAAGACAACACGAGAAGACGTCTTCGCGCGCGCCAGCGTCAGGAGGACGTCCAGGTCATCGTTGTGCGGGCGATCAGCGATGACCCAGAGGTCAGGCAGGAAAAGCGCCAGGAGCAGCGCGACGAACATGGCGAGCTGGAAATACCTCTCGCTCGCCGGCACGGGAAAACCCCAAGCGCGTGCGCGTTTGAATCCAGGGCTTGCCTCAGGTGAGTTGCGTTGATCCGATACTTAGGACCCTCGGACGAGCCGACGAGCCGACGAGCCGATGAGCCGAGCCGTGCCTGTTGTGGACGATCTGTCGGCAGTATGGGCCCAGGGTCTTCCGGACATGAAGAAGCAGGCCTCAGTCACCGGAACTCCGAGCTGGCGCCGCAGTCTGGACAAAGCGGTGCCAAAATGGCAATCTGGTACCCGATTTTGAAGAATGGCAGGGAGCCTTGCTCGTTCTCTATGTCTCTTTTGTGGAGGCGACCCCTTTTGGGATGGCTTTTTAAAGTGAAACTCCAAGAAAACTGAAGCCTATTGCAGCGGTTCCATGTGCCTGACATGTCCTCTTACAGCAAGTAAACTCACCCAAGGCACTTTTGGCCAGTGTGAAACCACAAGGAGAGCCTAGTCTGGCATTGTCTTCCACTCTCACAAATGTCATCCTAGCATTGGACTGGTTGACCCCGGATGAACAGATTTGTCCTACAAGTGAGGATTGCACTCCGAACATGATGAACTCAGAAGGGAGCACCCCCCAATCAAAATCAACCAGGGCTTCTGCTCTGTATTTGTTTCCTTCAAAAATAGAAGCCCTTTACAGACAACCACCCTTAGGGGGGGTCAACCCTGCGTTAAGAAACCCAAAATGGGCCTCAGCCCACCTCGCCGCCCGAGCCGTCGCCGAAGCGGGCCGTCGAAGCGAGCCGCTGTCCGGCTTCTTCTCCTCCGCGTTCAACGGGGGCGGCGCCGCCGCCGGCGGGGAAGGGCTGCGCGACGAGCCTGCGGACTTCGGATGATCGCACGACGCATCGATCGTCAGTCGCTCGGGGGTTGGCTTTGTCCCTTCAACACCATCCCTTCCTTTCGGTGAGCCTCCTCCCTGTGACACGCCAAACCCAAAAAAAAAACCAAAAAAAAAAAAACAAGAAGGGAACCCGAAAACCGAGAACCGACAAAGACAAAAAACGGGGAAAGGGAAAGGATCCAAAGTCGATGTTGGAAGCGAGCGGCTTCCTGGCAGCGCAAACGCCTTGGGCGTCATCGCCAGGCCAGGGGCATCCTGCAACATTCTGTCCGACCTCTCAGCTCATCGAAACCCCACGCACGACTTTGTGTGTCTGTCTAAGTAGGCCCCTTAAAACAAAACGTGCCTTGCGGAATGCATTCTTTTTGAGAACCCCCAAAAAAATGGTAATTACCAAACTCAAAAAAAGGCACTGCGGACATGGCCTCTGTTTACAGCTTACGCGCACGACGTCCTCTACGTCAGGGGCCAGGGAGTCCACTGCATCCGCCTCTACTCATGCCATGCCTGTGAGCCCCAGCGGCGCGGCCCTCCGACTTGGCCCAGTTGGGCCCAGCCTAAACCAACCCGAAATCCACCCGCACGTCCCATCCAAAGCGAATCCTGTCGGAGCATTCCTCTCCAGGGACACTTGCGCCATCCCCCCGGTCTTAACAAAGGGCCAACAAAAGCCTGAAGCCAGCGTGAAATATGCAATGCCGTGCTGAGGTGATTTCCATCGCGGCATCGGCCAATGGTTTGCCACGGTTGGTCAGGAAGGGTGCCAGAACCCACGTGAGTCTGCCTAGCAAAGGAAGGGCGGGGCGCAGAAGACGGAACTGCCAACGCACGCGATCCGTCCAACAAAGACTCATTCACACTCTTGCTCTCCGACTGGAGGTTGAAAAGCGAGACACAAGAATGGTGTTGCCAATCTCGCCTCTTGAGAAGAGGGCCAAGACTGACCTGAGGTGAGCTGTCACATCCTAACTTGCCGGACCACTAGGCTCAATCGGCTCGTAGCTGTCCAAACACGTGATGTGTCCGCGAATGCCCCTGAGTGATTTGCTCTCGCGGATGGTGTGCGTGTAATCAATGTACTTGCGCCTCATTGCCTCCCGCAACCAACCCCAAACCAACCCTAAGCTCACCCTAAACCAACCTGAGCCACCCATTGCAAACCAACCTTGGAAAAACCCTAAAGCCACCCTAAAGCCACCCTAAACCAATCCTGAACCAACCCTACCGACCTAAACCCACCCTAAACCCACTGCAAAACAACCTGATAAGAAACCCTAAACCCACCCTCAATCAATCCTTAACCAACCCTACCAACCTAAACTCCCCTAAACCAGCCCTCTGCAATCCGAAGCCAACTCCAAAAAATAAAATACACCCACCAGACCGTCCTGACCGTCACGACCATCCCAACCCTCCCAACCGGCGGTTTTCCGAATTGTGTCTCCTGCTGCCTAAATGTTGCGTTCCTGATTTCTGAGTGTCACGCTACTGTTCTCTGCTTCGTTTGCTTGACGTTCGCGCATGTGTTCTGAAAGTCGATTCGCCCGAGTGCTTTGCCATGTCGACAAGAACCACGACCAGTAACCAATCCAAACCACCAATGTAGAGTTGCCGTTTCCTGATCTGCTAACCACAATCGGGACATGCAATGCCTGTGCAGGCCCTGCGAAGCACCTCGAAAACTGGACGGCCCCCGTTTTCCAGCCGCCTGGAACAGAGCGAGGGCATGAACACGAACAGTCTGGCTTGGCAGGGCCCGCTCTCAACCGCAAACCACGCAAAAGACAAACAAGAATCTTTTTGGAATGAGAAGTGCACTGAACCAAAGGCGCCACAGGCCAATAGCCAGCTGCCGTCAGCCCTCTCCAGTATCAGTCGTACAGAACGTGGCTTTGGAGTCAGCCGCAATCACCCCACGCACTCCACCACCTGAACACCTGGTCAAAATCATTTTCCAGATCCTTCCGCTGAGTTTTTCACTTTGTTCCCGCACTGCGCCTTCAAGGACTAGGTCTTTGTGCGGCAAAAGCGTTGCCGACTCGCTCAGCACTCCCAAATTGCGAGCAACCCTCACGACCCTGAAGCCATGAGAGGAACCTCTCGCGGTGCTGCAAGATGCATCTGCCGTTGGCTGATTGACAAAGGGAATCTCAATATTCCGAGGGGACTGGTCTCTGGTCAGATCTGAAACACGTAGCAGCTTTAGTAAAGGCTTGAGCCTTTGGTGCGTTCCACATCTGGGCCGTGTATACCTCTATGACCTCGATCCATGTTGCTGCAAAGTCACTGACAATTCACCGCGTCAGCCTGTTCCGATTGAAAAACAAACCGCTCGGATCCTTGGCAAAGGGGCCAGAGCGTCGGCACGAAGCTCTTGGGGAAAAAAGTGCCAGTTCTGTGCCGAAACTCGGCATACAGCACTGGTCAAGGGAGCCAAGTTGGAGAGCGAATGTCATGCGCTAAGTTTGCACTCCCTTGACTTCATGCCGTGTCAGATCTTTCAGCGTGTGCTCTGCCAACGTCCCACCATACCGACTACCAGGACTACCAGGAGTGTCCCATGCCGTGATGTTTGGTTGGGCTGAGCACACAAAGCCACCTCACGCTCACCACGGCGATCTGGGAATATTCGCCCCCATGGGCCCATGGGCTATCCATCCCCCAATTCCATCGATCCCTGCCCCCGAGAATGCCGATCGAGAAGCGAAAGGGCGGAAAATTCAGAGCAGCCCCGGCTTCACGTCTGACGCTGTTGCCTCGCCGCTCACTTTTTTGGTGGCCATATGGTGGCGGCCCTGTCCCATTGAACCCCCTGAGGGTAGTGGTTTTGTGGTTGGGACCATCTCAGATTTGGCTCAACAAAGGACCACCGTGCAACATGTTGGTAACGGCGTCAGTGAACTCTAGGGCCGCCGTACTGAGATACTGCCAGGGCAGCGCGTCCCATATTAAATTTCCATGGGAACCGGAATGAACTGCAAGCGCTCGTTTGTAGGAAAGCTTGCGGTTCTGACCTACACTACCGTGCACGTATCAGCGTATCAGCAGCCGCAATTGCCACTCATGACATCCAAGGACACGTCCTGGCACACACTCGGAGCTCCGACTCTAGGATGTTCACTTTTGGAGGGGCCCCCACCCCCTCAAACAATATAGACAGGTGTGTAGTCATGGGTCAACATAATTACAACCGCCCCCTTCGCCCTGGTCCTTGCCACAGAGATTGCAGAGCGCCGAGATATCTCCGTCTGCGAGAAATCGGCCTTGGGCTTTCGGGCTTTCGGCTTATCTGAGCGAATCCGGGCGCTCTGTGCGCCGCACGCACCGCGTGCTCGTCAAAGGCCTGACGAGCACAACACACCGCCCGCGTCCGCTTCCTCTCCCCCGCTCTCTCCATGCCAAGCCTCTGCTGCCTTCGTGTCACCTGAGGTGAAGGGAGAAGCAAAGCACACGTGCGCAAAGCGCACGGCCTTGCATACGGGAAGCACCATGGCAATGATCATCGGCCACAGCACTTTGCTGCGTCCTGGCAACCAAACAAAATGTCCTTCTGTGCGTGAGGCGCCAAGACCTCAAAAGCCCCTCAAATCGTTGTCACGCTATTCATTGTAAGGTTGCCCAACTCCACAGTCAGAAAATACCCAGGCCAGATTGGCCATGTTGTGAAGGCAAAAGTGTTGAAATTTTCCGAGGCCACGTGGGCCCTGGTGCGCGAGCCAAAGCTTTTGCGTGGCCTCAACTCTGTTCTCCCTTGAAGGTTTCGAGAGTCGCGATGGAATGCGATGGAAAGTCATCGCAAGCGGCATGCGGAATCTCAACCGCCGGCTCCTCACGGCGTGCGCGGCATCGCTGAGCGAGCCAGCCTGGGCGATAGAGGCCCCTTGCCTCGCCCATGAACTTGCCTCTCGGTCGAGCAGCTCCCACGCCGTGTCGGGCGATGACGCTGTGCCAACGGACCTGTCCTGCCATGCGAAACCCCATGAAGGCCCCCGTCACGTGGTCACGCCCGCCACGTCTGCCCGCCACGTCTGCCCGGTCTGCCCCGCCTGCCGCACCTCGCAAGCGGGAGGCGGCCCTGGCGGCACGGGCTGAGGCTTTCCGCTTTTTCCAACCCCCCCAATGGCCCAACCCCCCTCTTCGCGCAAAGAAAAAGGGCTTGAGACATCCAAGAACGCGTTGAGCGCATCAGTGCAGCGCGTGTGCTGCCCAGGACAGCTAAGGGCATCACAGACCTGTTATTACCTCAGACTTCCTTGCGATAGGCACACAAAGTCGCACCCTAAGAAGTTGCCAATAACATGCAACTATTTAGCAGGTTAAGGTCTCGTTCGTTAACGGAATTAACCAAACAAATCACTCCACCAACTAAGAACGGCCATGCACCACCACCCATAGAATCAAGAAAGCGCTATCAATCTGTCAATCCTTACTATGCATGGACCTGTTAAGGTTGAATCACATGAAGCCGCAGGCTCCACTCCTGATGGCGCCCTTCCGTCAATTCCTTTAAGTTTCAGCCTTGCCACCATACTCCCCCCGGAGCACAAAGACTTTGATTTCTCGCAAGGTGCTGAAGGAGTCGTGCAACTAACAACCTCGAATCTCTAGTTGGCATAGTTTATGGTTAAGACTAGGACGGTATCTGATCATCTTCGATCAATGAAAGCACCCATTCTCAACGTCAAAATCGTACAGGAGGGCAAGTTCGCCCATTTCATAGTGGAAATGCAAAGGGGGGCTTTTCCACTCGGGGATGGACCTCGATCCGGCCTTGCCGCGCCACAAGCCAGCATGGCTGCAAGTCCAAGGTGCGGGTTTTGTGACCCGGGCTACGCGGCTTGAGTCGTGCGGAAACGGATAAAAAACTGTGCTTCTCAAAAACTGGGGGACCCCTCCAGGTAAACCCTCTAAAACCCATCCGAAAAGGCTCCCCTAGTTTGAAAAAAATAGCACGGGCCAAGGACACACCAAAATGGTGAATGTCCTTGCGGCTTCTCTTTAAAACCACCCCCCCCCAAAAAAAAAAAGAGAAAGAAAGAGGAAACAAAAAAAGTACCAACTCGCAAAAAGACCCTGGCGCTCCAATCTTTCCCCAGCCACATCGCCAGCTCGGCCAAATGAGCGTCCACGTGCGCTACGGAGGTGAGGATCTGAGCGACGCTTCCACTGGCAGCTTTGAACGGTTTGGGTGTGTCCGTTTTTGGGAGCACCCCCTTCGAAGGGAAACCAGCTGTCTTCTTTGAGGAGTCCACTCTGTTCGTGGCGTCGAAGCCAACAGGAAACCAACCATTTTGGGGGCCCCGTAATGAAAAGACACACCCATTTGGATTGCTTATTTCAGGCACGACTTCAAGTGGCATGGCATGCAGCCTGCAATGCAGTTTGCGTCAACCAGCCCTGCCTTTGCCACCTCCGACAACAACTCCCAATCTGGCGCGGCCACGTTTGGAAGGATCAAGCAATCTCAGAGCACAAAGCAGATGGAACAATTCCGGGGTAGGTGTGGGTAGGCACAGGGGGTCACTCAACTCCCAAATTTGTGGGTAGGGTTTTTTTTTGAGGATACCCTAAGAATGGACACCGACTCCGGCCCATGGCCCAGGCGGTCGCCTGGCATGTCCAGGGCATGGAACACCTGGCCGCAGTCGAGACTTGTGGCAAATTGAGTTCATATATCGGGGGACCTGTATTTCTGGGGGTTGGGGGGGTTGGCTATGTGCCAAGCTCAAAGAAATAGCTGATCTCTGAGAAATCTTACGAGCTTGCAGAAGCTAAGGGCATATGGCTGGGCATGCAGAAGGCTTACCTGTGCTCCACATCCCCAGGCCTGGGGTAAATCTATGCGCGGAGGGAAATGCTCCGTGGGCGAAATGGCGACATGCTGGCTGAGATTTGCGCCTGCGCCAGGCTGCGCAGCAAGCAGCGCAGCGAGCAGATTGCGAGATCGCAGCCTAACGGCCCCACAGAATTGCAACACGTGGCACATGGGTGACATGGGTGCGTCGCCTTTGTGGAGTCGCGGTGTTTCTTGTTTGACTTGGGGAAAGAAAGCTGGAAAACCGCTTCCTCCATTTCGGATATTCCCCAAGACAGAAGGACACCCATCGGCGAAAACCGCCGCTCCCATCCGGAATCCATCGGCTCAAAGCGTCGGTGGCAGCGGCGCCGGTCAGTGCCCAGGCTTATGAGGAGCTTCAAGCGGGCCAGCTCCTGGGCGACAATTGGACGGCAACTCCTGTGCTTTGGGCACACCTGGCCTCCAAAAAACACATGTACCCAAATGGAGCCCTGGAAAGTGCTGGACCAAAACCTGCGTAACCCCAGCTGTTTCGTTTTGAGCCACATCCTTTCTCCAAGTTCGGCTCCTCTGTGCCCTGCTCAAGCACACCTTGCCGCCGCCGCGCGTCCTGGCAGCAAGGGCGATGAGCTGAGACGGCGTGGCTCCTTGCTTCCCGAGTGGCGGATCTCAGCTGCGCGATGTCCTCCTAGGAACTTCCAATTTGGGCGCCCAAAGCTAGAACCCACCATGGGCCACCAAACGCCTTCCCAAGGGGGGCACACAAAAGGAAAGCCCTCCAAAACCCTCCCGTCTGGAGACCAACTCAGTCCAAGATTCCAGCAAGCCCTGGATCTCCGCAACCTCCGGCCGCGCGGGAGCCGGGGATGTTGGGTCAGGCCCGCTCAACGGCACCAGAGCCGCCTGGATCCCTCCTCGCATTCGGCGAGGAAGAAACCAAAACCTTCTACCAAATCCTCCCAGGATGCCCCTCTGGGCGCAGCCGCCGGTTTTCCAGCACCCTCATGGTCTCAAGGGAATTTGCCGTTCTTGTGATCCCCCTCCCTGCGACCCGGTGACCCCGACCCCCGCCTTCAGTGCTGAAGCTTGGCTGCCGCCGGACAGCGCCGCCATCCCCCTCCGAGTCGCCGAGGCGGGGACCTTCCAGTGACCTCGATCCGAGAGCGACGCGAGACAGACATGGACGGAGAAACGAAGCAAGACGAGAGACGGGAAAAATCGCACAGGATGAGGAGAAAAAAAAGGAAGAAAATGCAAATGGAGAGCTTCCGTGAGAGGAACGAGCAGGAATCCAAGAATGCGAGAAAAAAGAGCGGCAGGAGAGCGACCCGCGGAGCTGATTCAAGCTCATGGTTGACGCTCAGGACCCACACGCATGAGATCGGGTCCGTGAGAGGAACGAGCAGGAATCCAAGAATGAGAGAAAAACGAGCGGCAGGAGAGCGACCCGCGGAGCTGATTCAAGCTCATGGTTGACGCTCAGGACCCACACGCATGAGATCGGGTCCGTGAGAGGAACGAGCAGGAATCCAAGAATGCGAGAAAAAAGAGCGGCAGGAGAGCGACCCGCGGAGCTGATTCAAGCTCATGGTTGACGCTCAGGACCCACACGCATGAGATCGGGTTGGCCGTCGGCGTCCGTCCAATGTCGAATGGGGCAAGTGACCGGACCGGACAGAGTCAAGCTACCAACGTCGAGCGCGTGATCTTGCAACGTGCCGCCTAGAAGCCAAGTTTCCGGTAAGACGCGCCGGCCTGGCCAAGCCATGTTAGGAGCACGCGCCGGACATGCGATAACTAGTGGCCGGGGTCGCGAGAACACAAGCCATTGAAGCCTTTGAACGCCGTTGATTGTCGTCATCATGATGACAGAGCAAAAGCGAAAACGCAAACAAGCAAGTGCAAAACACAAGGTCCGAAGCTACAACACAACTGGCTAATACATATGTCTGCGACCCTGGCATCACTCAACACGTTCTGTTTTGCTTCAGCCACAACATCCGACATTCAGCGGCAAGATCAAAGAACGCAAAATCTAAGAACCGGTCCGGTGAACGATATCCCCAACATCACGTTCAGTTTCAGCGCCAGCTGGAACGTCTCGAACGCCACTCTGCTCTCGCGAGAAGTTGCTTTCTTGACCCGCATCTGAGCGAGGAGACGTCCTCAAGCCGACGATAGGCCTAGGCAGCAATGCGCAACACTGCCCCACATCAATCACAGACAACATCAGCAAGCGCATTCGAGAGCTCTCAAAAATTGACCGCCAACACGCACACACCAAAAAGGTGCGAACAAGACTATCATACTACACTTCACAACGCACACTAAGTCCGCGTCTCTTCACCAGCATTCCCAGCGTCACGCTCCGTTTCAGTGCCAGCGGGAACGGCTCGAACGCCACTCTGCTCACGCAAAAAGCTGCATTCTTCTCCCGCATCTGAACGGGGGGACGTCCGCTGGCCGATGATAGGCCTAGCAGCAATGTGCAACACTGCCCCACATCAGTCACGGACCCAACATCAACATCAGCTTCTTGCCGAGTTCTTGAAAAACTGACCCGCAAACGCGCACACCAAAAAGGGACGAACAAAACTATCACAAACCATCACCGCAAGCACGCGGCACAAGCCTAACAGCTCACAACACACTCTAAGTCCGCGTCTGTCTACCAGCGTTCCCTGCATCACGCTCAGCTTCAGTGCCGGCAGGAACGTCTCGAACGCCACTCTGCTCACGCGAAAAGCTGCGTTCTTCACCCGCATCTGAACGGGGGGACGTCCGCTGGCCGATGATAGGCCTTGGCAGCAATGGGCAACACTGCCCCACATCAGTCGCGGGCCCAACATCAACAGCAGCAACCTTCTTTTCCGACTTCTTGAAAACTGACCCGCAAACGCGCACACCAAAAAGTACGAACAAAACTATCGCAAACCATCGCCGCAAGCACGCGGCACCAGCCTAACAACTCACAACACACTCTAAGTCCGCGTCTGTCTACCAGCGTTCCCTGCATCACGCTCAGCTTCAGTGCCGGCAGTCTGCTCACGCGACAAGCTGCGTTCTTCACCCGCATCTGAACGGGGAAACGTCCGCTGGCCGATGATAGGCCTTGGCAGCAATGTGCAACACTTCCGCACATCAGCCACGGACCCATCAGCAACATCAGCGACCTTCTTGCCGAGTTCTTGAAAACTGACCCGCAAACGCGCACACCAAAAAGTACGAACAAAACTATCACAAACCATCACCGCAAGCACGCGGCACCAGCCTAACAACTCACAACACACTCTAAGTCCGCGTCTGTCTACCAGCGCTCCCTGCATCACGCTCAGTTTCAGTGCCAGCAGGAACGTCTCGAACGCCACTCTGCTCACGCGAAAAGCTGCGTTCTTCACCCGCATCTGAACGGGGAGACGTCCGCTGGCCGATGCTAGGCCTTGCCAGCAATGTGCAACACTGCCGCACATCAGCCACGGACCCATCATCAACATCAGCAACCTTCTTGCCGAGTTCTTGAAAACTGACCCGCAAACGCGCACAGGTACGAACAATACCATCATACACCATCACCACAAGCACGCGGCACCAGCCTAACAACTCACAACACACTCTAAGTCCGCGTCTGTCTACCAGAGTTCCCTGCATCACGCTCAGCTTCAGTGCCGGCAGGAACGTCTCGAACGCCACTCTGCTCACGCGACAAGCTGCGTTCTTCACCCGCAACTGAACGGGGAGACATCCGCTGGCCGACGATAGGCCTTGGCAGCAATGTGCAACACTGCCCCACATCAGTCACGGACCCAACATCAACATCAGCCTCTTGCCGAGTTCTTGAAAACTGACCCGCAAACGCGCAAACCAAAAAAGGTACGAACAAAACTATCATAAACCATCGCCGCAAGCACGCGGCACCAGCCTAACAACTCACAACACACTCTAAGTCCGCGTCTGTCTACCAGCGTTCCCTGCATCACGCTCAGCTTCAGTGCCGGCAGGAACGTCTCGAACGCCACTCTGCTCACGCGAAAAGGTGCGTTCTTCACCCGCAGCTGAACGGGGAGACGTCCGCTGGCCGATGATAGGCCTTGGCAGCAATGTGCAACACTGCCCCACATCAGTCACGGACCCAACATCAACATCAGCTTCTTGCCGAGTTCTTGAAAACTGACCCGCAAACGCGCAAACCAAAAAGGTACGAACAAAACTATCATAAACCATCTCCGCAAGCACGCGGCACCAGCCTAACAACTCACAACACACTCTAAGTCCGCGTCTGTCTACCAGCGTTCCCTGCATCACGCTCAGTTTCAGTGCCAGCAGGAACGTCTCGAACGCCACTGTGCTGACGCGACAAGCTGCGTTCTTCACCCGCATCTGAACGGGGAAACGTCCGCTGGCCGATGATAGGCCTTGGCAGCAATGTGCAACACTTCCGCACATCAGCCACGGACCCATCAGCAACATCAGCGACCTTCTTGCCGAGTTCTTGAAAACTGACCCGCAAACGCGCACACCAAAAAGGTACGAACAAAACTATCACAAACCATCGCCGCAAGCACGCGGCACCAGCCTAACAACTCACAACACACTCTAAGTCCGCGTCTGTCTACCAGCGTTCCCTGCATCACGCTCAGCTTCAGTGCTGGCAGGAACGTCTCGAACGCCACTCTGCTGACGCGACAAGCTGCGTTCTTCACCCGCATCTGAACGTGGAGACGTCCGCTGGTCGATGATAGGCCTTGGCAGCAATGTGCAACACTGCCGCACATCAGCCACGGACCCAGCATCAACATCAGCAACCTTCTTTCAGAGATACCGAAAAACAACCCGCAAAAACGCGCATATTGCCGCATATTGCAACGATGCCACTACCAACCCTGTGTATGTCAAATGAAACTTGGCATTAAACTTAGGGGCTGGGGTTGGAACAGCCTTTGCACAGTATAGAACTGGGAGCAGCCAAAGAGTCTACAAAATCATGATAATTACGCGGGCAACTTCCCCCCCTTGAATTTGAGGGTGCTTTTTTGTTTTAACCATTTTGTTGTGGGCTTGCTGACTTGAGTCTTACCAATGTTCCACATGGCCAGCCAGCAAACCCTTTCTTTAGGGAAAATACCTGAACATGTGAGCACAAGCCCTGCAAGGAGACATAACCAGCTTGAACAACGGAAGCCATTCCGAGGGTTGCATGAGAGCCAAAATCGCTTCAACCTAGCCCAATCTCAACAAAGTGCACATCTAACCAAACTCAGGCCTACAAAGTGACATCAGGCCCAACCCCTCAACACGGCCCTCAAGATAAAACAAGAGACGTGTAGCCTCTACCACAAAATGATGGCATTGTCCTGAACCAATCTTACAGTAACAAGGCCCAAAAAAGTCTACAAAATAGGTGTTCCACAACTTGAGGGTCTCGAATGCCCCCCCCAATTCACCACAATGGTTGTAACATGAGTAACATCAATAATTACCAATTCGTAGGGAAAATGCACAGGGGGATTCATAAACGATCACCGCAAGCACACTGCACCAATGCACTCTGAGCCCCCGTCTGCCTAGCAGCGTCCCCAGCATGACGCTCAGTTTCAGTGCCACTGGGAAGCGAGAAGCTGCTTTCTTGACCCGCATCTGAGCGGGGAGACGTCCGCGGGCTAGTGATAGGCCTCAAAAGGCCGTGCGCACGGCTACGAAATATCCACCCACCCACCCATTTGTCAACACACGCACACATCACAAACACATAAGAAAACTGGTCTCGCACTACGCCCATTTTTGTCTGATTGAAAGCACCCTGCGCCAGCCTTGCATTCACGCAAAGCACTCTGAGCCCCCTTCTGTCCATTGGCGTTCCCAGCAACACGTTCAGTTTCAGCGCCAGGAATGTCTCGAACACGGCTGCTTTCTCGACCCGCTGAAGTGGGATCGACACCAGACCTCAGCTACGCACAAATCTTCCCCCCCCCCCCCCCCCCGTGCGCAACATCCGCAATATCATTCCTGACATCTCGATTTAATAGCCCGAACACGAGCCGTCACATGATGACAAACAAACAGTATCATACAAAAGGGCGATATGACAGTCCCGGCCTCATCATACATCGTATCCCATCCTATCCCATCTTGCCTCCCGGATAGGCATTTGCAACCGAGCCACTTGCGAATGGCCCGGTGGCGCTGGAAGTCTGAACCCGGCGACGCCTCACGGCGACACTCCTACCCTCTCGCCGACGGCGCCTTGCTGCCCAGCCACGCTGCCCGAACGACCCGATGTCCTTGGCTGTTCATGAACGGCAGCTCTCAACCCCTCGCAAGCTCAGCTCTTCCCCCCCCCGGCCCCAAACATGGTCAACTAGTCGCCCACGAAATCGCCAGCATTCAGCAGGCTTGGGATCCGCACTTGAGCAAACACTCTAGGCCTCCCCAATCAAGTGGTTCAGTAGTAACCCCGGCAACTTGGTCAGCAGCGCGACTCCACCAAACCAAAAGAACGCAGATCAACTCCATCATGTTCAACTACGTCATGCTCGTTTTCATTGTACGTTTTAAACCCCAAGTCTAGCCGAATTGTGCCAAACAATCGACATGTCTTGTGCCACGGCGTCATCCCTGCATTGGCATGTCCGAAGCAACAACTGTCCAGATCCTATTGCGGCTAAAACTTGCCCAGAAACATGGCAGGCAAACAATGGCAAAAACAGCACGCCTCAGCACAACCCGTTGTAGCTACAGCCTACAGCCGCACTATCTTTGAACGATATGACAGTCCCGGCCTCACTATACATCGTATCCCATCCTATCCCATCTTGCCTCCCGGATAGGCAGTTGCAACCGAGCCACTTGCGAACGGCCCGGTGGCGCTGGAAGTCTGAACCCGGCGACGCCTCACGGCGACACTCCTACCCTCTCGCCGACGGCGCCTTGCTGCCCAGCCACGCCCGAACGACCCGATGTCCTTGGCTCATGCGGTGGGACACCGAACTGGGACAGAACTCTTTGCCACGGCGCATGGGGATGGGGTGGGCCGCAGCAGGCTGCTTATGCCGATCCTTCAGGACAGAAGGAGCCTTCGTTTGTGAGCTGCCATCTCGACGCCTTCACAACACTTTGGATACTTTCAGCGCCCAAACATTTAGGAGTTTTTTTTTTTCCATATGGGATGCACGAAGAAGGGTCCATGTTCTTTTGGTTTCCTTTGAAACCCACCAAAAAACAATAGCCTGAAAAAGAGACACGCCCCATTCTGAGCGTTGGCAGTGGCGAACATAGCCCTCTCCTCGCCCTCTCCAGCTCGCTGCAGGTTCTGGAGCCGCCACTGCTGCTGCTCCTAGACCCTTATATTATTATATGGCCATGGGTCAAAATCCCGTACCCCCAGTGAACATCCCAATCCCCACTAAAATAGGTTTTAAAATGGGTGCATTGGTTTTGACCCACTGCCATATGGTCTCGAAATGTTGCGCCCAGGGCAATGTTGACCCCATCTTCATCAACCCCAGGGTGTCCCTGGGTTTTTGTGGGGAGTCATCACTTTTGGAGGGGAACACCCCCCGAATTGAAGATTTTTAAAGCCGAAGGCAGCAGCGGTCCTCCGCCTCCATGTGCCAGGTGCGCTCATCCGTGCCTTCGACGGTGCGTTGCGCCAGGGCCATGCGCATCTTCAACTCAAAGCGCTCCAGCTGCTCCTGCTCCAAGTCTCCGAGCCGCCAAGTCTCTGAGTCCGCGCAAACGGGTCGTCAACGTGGCAAGTGGGATCCCCGAACCGCTTCCGTGTTTGTGTGCTTTCTTTTGGCTTGCCTTTTAGCCTTTCAGACCATGCAAGCAGCGTACTTTTCGAGCCTCGCGCAAAAAGGAACAGAAAAAAAAAGACCGCACTCATACGTGTGATCCTGGATGTCCACGTCCCTGCCCATGGCCGCCTCCCGCAACAGCTCCGCCTCCAGCAAAGACACCTGGCCGCCGATGTGCGGCGATTTGCGCCATGCTTGCCATGGCCACGTCACGCCTGCTGCTGGATGAGCGTCTCTGCCAATCTTGGCTAAATCGAACCAGCCGCCAACACCGGATGCAAGAAGAAAAGCTAAAAGGGGCTTGCAAAGGGAAGGAACCCGAAACGAAGGGCGTACCACTGGCCTTCCAAACCTGGTCTCCAAATGCTGTAGACATGCAAACGGACCCCCCCCTCCTGAAAATTGCAGCCACGCGTCTGGCCATTATTGACGTTGCCGCCGCTTCTTTTCCACTCTGACGGCTCTCCTGCGTGCTTCGGCGTAACACGTGGGCATGCGGCCAGGAACTGTCCTAGGGGTTCATGCCCCCAGCCTGCGAGCAAATTGCCACGCCCGCCCCGCGCTCCAGACCGCTCTGGCGATGCCTTCCAACGACCGCAAAAAGCCCTCGACTTGAACGCAGAGTCTGAGCCGAGCGGCAACCGTGGCGCTGCGGGGCAGCACGGGCCGGCTAAACCCGCGCTCCGGCTCCTGTCACGTCCCGCGCGCCCCGCGTCTCACTCCCTCCCCGCAGGGCCCCCGCAGGCGCCTCGTGGATGTGGCCCTGGCCGCCCGGGCGCCGCTGCGCCAAGGCGGTGGACTCCGCCCTCGGCGCTGACGCTTCTTGGGAGAAACCGGGGCCATGGGCAGCCCACTTTCGACTCTCAAACAGACCTCCCCGGTTTTGTCCGTCGTCGCACCACTTCATTTCGAGCGAGCCGCGGCGGCAGTTTCATGGCGGGGAAAGGCGCGCATGTTCCAGGCGGAAGTGAGGCAAGGCCATTCCACGCGCTTTGGTTGGCTGGGGGACTGTTGGTTTCAGGTCTGTTTCAGTGGCGCCTCACACGATTTGTGACATGCTGCGTTTTGAGCCTGTGGCCGGTCAATTGCGTCATGCTCCATAATGATTGGAGGCGCTGCATGTCGTGTCATTACCCTCAGACTCTTGGAGCCATCGGACCTGAATGCAGGTCGCAAACACAGCAGAAGCAGTGCAAAGCCTGAACCAATCACACCAACGGCTGCAACTGAATGCCCCCGCGGCGTTTTGCCCGCAAGCCGCTTCCCTTCCGAGCTGAAGCCGGTTATGGCCGGCTCAGACCCCACCTCTCGAGACCCGGCGAGTGGCGCGTCTTAGACCCTCGCCCGCGTGTGGAAGCCATGTGCTGGGCCCGCGTTTGCTCGGAGGTCTAAACGGCGAGCTCAGAGATCACAGGCCGAGCTCTACGGGACATACCACCACCACACCCCGTGAGGTGCCAAGTGCAGTGTGGCTCCGTCCTGCCATCGGTGACAAACGTCAGCAAACTATAGAATGCCTAGGGAGCCCAACAAATGGTGGGCTTCCGTTTCATCCCCCTCCAAGCCCCAAACAGGTACCAAGCCTAAAAAAAGGACAAGCTGGGAAGAAACACCCAAAAAATACACCAGCATAGACCCCAGACCCCCGCGAAGAACGCCCCAAGCAAAACCCGGCCGTCAATCGAGCAAAAATGCGCCCGCACCATCACCCGGAAGAGCACCCCCAAACAAAATCCCAAACCACCACCTGAGCTGCATGCCCCCTTGCACCCTACCGTCGAGATGCAAACATGCGCCTGCACCGTCACCTGCATGCCCGATGCGCCCCACAAAGCACCTCAAACAGCTCCCCACAAACTGTGTCCCACAGCACCATCAGCAGCACCCCAAACTGCATTCCCCCCTGCGTCCTACCGGATGCGCCCGCACTGCCATCAGCACCTCAAACAGCACCCCACTCAGCACCCCAATCAGCACCTACACCAGCACGCCAAACCGCACGCCCCTAGCACCCGCCCATCAATCTCGCAAATCACTTTCCCCTCTTTATTAGAAGTTAGAACCCCTATAGCTTTCAGCTATCTGGGGAAAAAGGGACAAGGACCGGGAAAACCAGTCTTGACCTTCTCCCAGCTTTTCTCGCGCACGTGTCCGGCAGGTTCTGGTGCACGGCGCGCACCACGCCTTGCTCGCCGGCGCGGTAGTCGTGCCCGGCCAAGACCCCGCCGGTGGTAAGCAAAGGCGCCCAGAGTCTGAGGTCCTCTGCGCAGGACCTCAGAAATTCTCTCGCTCTTTTTGCTCCCCCCTGGTTGGTGGGTCAAGTAAAACCACCAGTTTATGGAGGGCTCGTTTACCCCCCCCCCCCAAACCAAAAACAAGAGGAGCCCGGGAACCCAAAAGCAAACCAGCCTAACTCCCCATGGCATGTGGATCCCGTTGTTTTCCGGCTCAAGGGTCCGAAGGCAAACCAAGATTTAAGTTGTTCACAGTTGGGAAATCAACCCCAAAACAGATGAAGAAGGGGAGCAACCGCGACTCAAGCCGGATTGGCAGCCAGCAGCCTGTGCTCTGACCAAGCACAGAGAAAAAGGCAAAGGCACGGGTGAAACATGACAGGCCCCGCACTACATGGAAGGCACGAAGTCATCCGATTCATCATGAAGAACCAATCGCAGAAATCCGAAAATGGATCCGCACAAACTACCACTCCCAAATTGGAAGCAAGGCATAAGCTCGCTCTACACCCATCTGAAACAAGTCTGAGACACAGTGTTACAACACGATCTGAGTAGACCGGGGTCAGCTGTTCGGATGTTCATGCGCCCTTATGTTGGGGCCGAGTGTGCTCAGCATATTCATGTCAACGTGCTTCCAGGCTGCTTCCAAATAAGTAGGGCGAGTCCCAAGAGGCCACAGACTCTGAAGAGAGGGTTCGTCCTAGAAACACATTGGCGCCATTTGTTCGGGTCAGGTGTGCGGCAAAAAGGACAATTTTGGCGTGCCTGGAACGCCGGGCTGTTCACATGGAGCCGTGCATGTGGCCTTCACAAACTTGCTTTGTAAGCTTGCTTGGATTCGTTAGTTTCTCCACCTATTTTCCCATTCGCAACCAATGGCAACTGGTGACTTTGTGGAAAGGGCCGCGCACGTTGTCAATTGGATGCGTGTAGATGGCAAGTTGGGTGGATTCGCCGCAGGTGTGTGGAGACGGGGCCGGCGCTGCGCTTTTGCGGGGGGCTCGGTGTGGACAAGCCTCGATCACTTGGTGGGTCTGACGCCTGTCTGAAACAAGTCTGAGACACAGTGTTACCACGATCTGCGTAGACCGGGGTCAGCTGTTCGGATGTTCATGCGCCCTTTTGTTTGGGCCGAGTGTGCTCAGCATATTCATGTCAACGTGCTTGCAGGCTGCTTCCAAATAAGTAGGGCGAGTCCCAAGAGGCCACAGACTCTGAAGAGAGGGTTCGTCCTAGAAACACATTGGCGCCATTTGTTCGGGTCAGGTGTGCGGCAAAAAGGACAATTTTGGCGTGCCTGGAACGCCGGGCTGTTCACATGCAGCCGTGCACGTGGCCTTCACAAACTTGCTTCGTATGCCTGCTTGGATTCGTTAGTTTCTCCACCTATTTTCGCAACCAATTGCAACTGGTGACTTTGTGGAATGGGCCGCACACGTTGTCAATTGGATGCGTGTGGATGGCAAGTTGGGTGGATTCGCCGCAAGTGTGTGGAGACGGGGCCGGCTCTGCGCTTTTGCGGGGGGCTCGGTGTGGACAAGCCTCGGTCACTTGGTGGGCGAAACAAGTCTGAGACACAGTGTTACCACGATCTGCGTAGACCGGGGTCAGCTGTTCGGATGTTCATGCGCCCTTTTGTTTGGGCCGAGTGTGCTCAGCATATTCATGTCAACGTGCTTCCAGGCTGCTTCCAAATAAGTAGAGCGAACCCCAAGAGGCTACAGCTTCTGAAGAGAGGGTTCGTCCTAGAAACACATTGGCACCGTTTGTTCGGGTCAGGTGTGCGGCAAAAAGGACAATTATGGCGTACCTGGAGCGCCGGGCTGTTCACATGGAGCCGCGCACGTGGCGGTTGCCGCGTGTCATGAGCGTCCACCTCCACCGCGCCAGTCTCGCTCGCCGGCATGTCACGAGCCTCCACCACGCCAGTCTCGCTCGCAAGCGGTTTCCGCATGTCACGAGCGTCCACCGCGCCAGTCTCGCTCGCGGGCGGTTTCCGCATGTCACGAGCGTCCACCGCGCCAGTCTCGCTCGCGGGCGGTTTCCGCATGTCACGAGCGTCCACCGCGCCAGTCTCGCTTGCGGGCAGTTTCCGCGTGTCACAAGCGTCCACCGCGCCAGTCTCGCTCGCGGGCGGTTTCCGCATGTCACGAGCGTCCACCGCGCCAGTCTCGCTCGCGGGCGGTTTCCGCATGTCACGAGCGTCCACCGCGCCAGTCTCGCTCGCGGGCGGTTTCCGCATGTCACGAGCGTCCACCGCGCCAGTCTCGCTCGCGGGCGGTTTCCGCATGTCACGAGCGTCCACCGCGCCAGTCTCGTCCACCGTTTCCGCCAGTCTCGCTCGCGCGGGCATGTCGCGTTTCTCGCATGTCCACGCCAGCGGTTTCATGTCACGAGCGCGGCAGTCTCGCTCGCGGGCGGTTTCCGCCTGTCACGAGCCACCGCGCCAGTCGCTCGCGGGCGGTTTCCGCCTGTCACAAGCGTCCACCGCACCAGTCTCACTCGCGGGCGGTTTCCGCATGTCACGAGCGTCCACCGCACCAGTCTCGCTGTCTCGCTCAGGGGCGGTTTCCGCATGTCACGAGCGGCCACTGCGCCAGTCTTGCTCGCGGGCGGTTTCCGCATGTCACGAGCGTCCACCGCGCCAGTCTCGCTCGCGGGCGGTTTCCGCATGCGGGCGGTTTCCGCATGTCACGAGCGCCCACCGCGCCAGTCTCGCTCGCGGGCGGTTTCCGCATGTCACGAGCGTCCACCGCGCCAGTCTCGCTCACGGGCGGAAACCCCGCATGTCACGAGCGTCCACCGCGCCAGTCTCGCTCGCGGGCGGTTTCCGCATGTCACGAGCGTTCACCGCGCCATGGCTCGCCCACGGGCGGTTTCCGCATGTCACGAGCGTCCACCGCGGCAGTCTCGCTCGCGGGCGGTTTCCGCATGTCACGAGCGTCCACCACGCCAGTCTCGCTCGCGGGCGGTTTCCGCATGTCACGAGCGTTCCACCGTGCCAGTCTCGCTCGCGGGCGGTTTCCGAATGTCACGAGCGTCCACCGCGCCGGTTTGCGCATGTCACGAGCGTCCACCGCGCCAGTCTCGCTTGCGGGCAGTTTCCGCATGTCACGAGCATCCACTGCGCCAGTCTCGCTCGCGGGCGGTTTCCCCATGTCACGATCCACCGCACCAGTCTCGCTCGCGGGCGGTTTCCGCCTGTCACAAGCGTCCACCGCGCCAGTCTCGCTCGCGGGCGGTTTCCGCATGTCACGAGCGTCCACCGCGCCAGTCTCGCTCGCTGGCGGTTTCCGCATGTCACGAGCGTCCACCGCGCCAGTCTCGCTCGCGGGCGGTTTCCGCATGTCACGAGCGTCCACCGCGCCAGTCTCGCTCGCGGGCGGTTTCCGCATGTCACGAGCGTCCACCACGCCAGTCTCGCTCGCGGGCGGTTTCCGCATGTCACGAGCGTCCACCGCGCCAGTCTCGCTCGCGGGCGGTTTCCGCATGTCACGAGCGTCCACCGCGACAGACTCGCTCGCGGGCGGTTTCCGCATGTCACGAGCGTTCGCCGCGCCAGTCTCGCTTGCGGGCGGTTTCCGCATGTCACGAGCGTCCACCGCGCCAGTCTCGCTCGCGGGCGGTTTCCGCATATCACGAGCGTCCTCCGCGCCAGTCTCGCTCGCGGGCGGTTTTTGCATGTCACAAGCGTCCACCGCGCCAGTCTCGCTCGCGGGCGGTTTCCGCATGTCACGAGCGTCCGCCGCGCCAGTCTCGCTCGCGGGCGGTCTCCGTATGTCACGAGCGTCCGCCGCGCCAGTCTCGCTCGCGGGCGGTTTCCGCCTGTCACGAGCGTCCACCGCGCCAGTCTCGCTCGCGGGCGGTTTCCGCATGTCACGAGCGTCCACCGCGCCAGTCTTGCTCGCGGGCGGTTTCCGCATGTCACGAGCGTCCACCGCGCCAGTCTCGCTCGCGGGCGGTTTCCGCATGTCACGAGCGTCCACCCCGCCAGTCTCGCTCGCGAACGGTTTCCGCATGTCACGAGCGTCCACCGCGCCAGTCTCGCTCGCGGGCGGTTTCCGCATGTCACGAGCGTCCACCGCGCCAGTCTCGCTCCCGGGCGGCTTCCGCATGTCACGAGCGTCCACCGCGCCAGTCTCGCTCGCGGGCGGTTTCCGCATGTCACGAGCGTCCACCGCGCCAGTCTCGCTCGCGGGCGGTTTCCGCATGTCACGAGCGTCCACTGCGCCAGTCTCGCTCGCGGGCGGTTTCCGCATGTCACGAGCGTCCACCGCGCCAGTCTCGCTCGCGGGCGGTTTCCGCATGTCAGGAGCGTCCACCGCGCCAGTCTCGCACACGGGCGGTTTCCGCCTGTCACGAGCGGTCTCGCTCGCGGGCGGTTTCCGCATGTCACGAGCGTCCACCGCGCCAGTCTCGCATGTCACGAGCGTCCACCGCGCCAGTCCAGTCTCGCTCGCGGGCGGTGTCCGCATGTCACGAGGGTCCACCGCGCCAGTCTCGCTCGCGGGCGGTTTCCGCATGTCACGAGCGTCCACCACGCCAGTCTCGCTCGCGGGCGGTTTCGCAGGAGCGTCCACCGCGCCAGTCTCGCTCGCGGGCGGTTTCCGCATGTTCCACCGCGCCAGTCTCGCTCGCGGGCGTTTTTCCGCATGTCACGAGCGTCCACCGCGCCAGTCTCGCTCGCGGGCGGTTTCCGCATGTCACGAGCGTCCACCGCGCAAGTCTCGCTCGCGGGCGGTTTCCGCATGTCACGAGCGTCCACCGCGCCAGTCTCGCTTGCGGGCGGGCGGTTTCCGCCTGTTTCACGAGCGTCCACCGCGCCAGTCTCGCTCGCGGGCGGTTTCCGCATGTCACGAGCGCACCGTCTCTCGCGGGCGGTTTCCGTCACAAGCGTCCACCGCGCCAGTCTCGCTCGCGGGCGGTTTCCGCATGTCACGAGCGTCCACCGCGCCAGTCTCGCTCGCGGGCGGTTTCCGCAGGTCACCAGCGTCCACCGCGCCAGTCTCGCTCGCGGGCGTTTCCGCATGTTCCACCGCGCCAGTCTCGCTCGCGGGCGGTTTCCGCATGTCACGAGCGTCCACCGCGCCAGTCTCGCTCGCGGGCGGTTTCCGCATGTCACCATTTTTCGCTCGCGGGCGGTTTCCGCATGTCACGAGCGCGCCAGTCTCAGTCTGCACCACACCGCCGTCCCCCCAGCCAGCCCCACCGCCGTCCCCCCAGCCAGCCTCGTACGCCCGGTCTGCACCCCCAGCCGGCATCGCACGCCCGGTCTGCAGCACAACGAAATGGAAATCCCTTCTTATCTCCGTCGTCACAGCTTGTATCGCTCCCAGGCACCTTAAGAGAAAACCTAAAGCAGAACCCAAGCATCAGAGATGCTTTTGGGAAAAAAATTAGGACTCTGTTCGGATGTTCGTGCGCCCTTTTGTTTGGTCGAGTGTGCTCAGCATATTCATGTCAACGTGCTTCCAGGCTGCTTCCAAATAAGTAGGGCGAACCCCAAGAGGCCACAGACTCTGAAGAGAGGGTTCGTCCTAGAAACACATTGGCGCCATTTGCTCGGGTCAGGTGTGCGGCAAAATAAGTAGGGCGAACCCCAAGAGGCCACAGACTCTAAAGTCCTAGAAACACATTGGCGCCATTTGCTCGGGTCAGGTGTGCGGCAAAAAGGACAATCTTGGCGCGCGGTGAACGCCGGGCTGTTCACATAGAGCCGTGCACGTGGCCTTCACAAACTTGCTTCGTAAGCTTGCTTGGATTCGCTGGTTTCTCCGCCGATTTTCCCATTCGCAACCAATTGCAACTGGTGACTTTGTGGAAAGGGCCGCGCACGCTGTCAATTGGATGCGTGTGGATGGCAAGTTGTGTGGAGACGGGGCCGGCGCTGCGCTTTTGCGGGGAGGCTCGGTGTGGACGATCCTCGGTCATTTGGTGGGTCTGACGTCTGTCCGAAACAAGTCTGAGACACAGTGTTGCCACGATCTGCGTAGACCGGGGTCAGCTGTTCGGATGTTCATGCGCCCTTTTGTTTGGGCCGAGCGTGCTCAGCATATTCATGTCAACGTGCTTCCAGGCTGCTTCCAAATACGTAGGGCGAACCCCAAGAGGCTACACCTTCTGAAGAGAGGGTTCGTCCTAGAAACACATTGGCACCCTTTGTTCGGGTCAGGTGTGCGGCAAAAAGGACAATTTTGGCGCACCTGCAACTCCGGGCTGTTCACATGGAGCCGCGTGGCCTTCACAAACTTGCTTCGTAAGCTTGCTTGGATTCGTTAGTCTCTCCACCGATTTTCCCATTCGCAACCAATTGCAACTGGTGACTTTGTGGACAGAGCCGCGCACGTTGTCAATTGGATGCGTGTAGATGGCAAGTTGGGTGGGAGGGGGCCGGCGCTGTGCTTTTGCGGGGGGCTCGGCGTAGACAAGCCTCGGTCACTTGGTGGTCTGACGCCTGTCCGAAACAAGTCTGAGACACAGTGTTACCACGATCCGCGTAGACCGGGGTCAGCTGTTCGGATGTTCGTGCGCCCTTTTGTTTGGGCCGAGTGTGCTCAGCATATTCATGTCAACCTGCGTCCAGGCTGCTTCCAAATAAGTAGGACGAACCCCAAGAGGCCACAGCTTCTCAAGAGAGTCCTAGAAACACATGAGCGTTTGTTCGGGTCCTGTGTGCGGCAAAAAGTGCGGGGACTCGGTGTGGACAAGCCTCGGTCACTTGGTGGGTCTGACGCCTGTCTGAAACAAGTCTGAGACACAATCTGCGTAGACCGGGGTCAGCCGTTCGGATGTTCGTACGCCCTTTTGTTTGGCCGAGTGTGAGCGAGACGGGCGCGGGGGACGCTACAGGCAGAAACCGCCCCCGAGCGAGACGGGCGCGGGGGACGCTCGTGACAGGCGGAAACCGTCCTCGAGCGAGACAAATGGCGCCGATGTGTTTCTAGGACGAACCCTCTCTTGAGAAGCTGTGGCCTCTTCGGGTTTCGGCCTGTCACGAGCGTCCCCCGCGCCCGTCTCGCTCGGGGGCGGTTTCCGCTTGTCACGAGCGTCCACCGCGCCAGTCTCGCTCGCGGGCGGTTTCCCCACGTCACGAGCGTCCACCGCGCCAGTCTCGCTCGGGGGCGGTTTCGGCCTGTCACGAGCGTCCCCCGCGCCCGTCTCGCTCGGGGGCGGTTTCGGCCTGTCACGAGCGTCCCCCGCGCCCGTCTCGCTCGGGGGCGGTTTCCGCTTGTCACGAGCGTCCACCGCGCCAGTCTCGCTCGGGGCGGTTTCGCTGTCACGAGCGTCCCCGCGCCCGTCTCGCTCGGGGGCGGTTTCGGCCTGTCACGAGCGTCCCCCGCGCCCGTCTCGCTCGGGGGCGGTTTCGGCCTGTCACGAGCGTCCCCCGCGCCCGTCTCGCTCGGGGGCGGTTTCGGCCTGTCACGAGCGTCCCCCGCACCCGTCTCGCTCGGGGGCGGTTTCGGCCTGTCACGAGCGTCCCCCGCGCCCGTCTCGCTCGGGGGCGGTTTCCGCTTGTCACGAGCGTCCACCGCCTCAGTCTCGCTCGGGGGCGGCTTCGTCCTGTCACGAGCGTGCCTCGCGCCCGTCTCGCTCGGGGGCGGTTTCCGCTTGTCACGAGCGTCCACCGCGCCAGTCTGGCGCACCCAGCCAGCCCCACCCCGCCGTCCCCCCAGCCAGCCTCGTACGCCCGGTCTGCACCCCCAGCCGGCATCGCACGCCCGGTCTGCAGCACAACGAAATGGAAATCCCTTCTTATCTCCGTCGTCACAGCTTGTATCGCTCCCAGGCACCTTAAGAGAAAACCTAAAGCAGAACCCAAGCATCAGAGATGCTTTTGGGAAAAAAAACTAAGTGAGTGTAACAGTAGGTGTAATTCTCTGCGTTGTTTCTTTGGTTTGGATTTGGATTTGCAGTGAAGTTCTTGAGGGATGGCTTTCGAACCCCCGAATCCAAGCCTGAACTTGTATGATATACAGTCATTTGCACCTTGGTGAGGTTCTCTGGTGGACACCTTTTCGAATTTCCGTGTTGTGGTTTCCCTTTGGAACCAGGGCTTGGCTTCCGCGTCCGCAAGAACCGGGTTCAAATCTAAATCCAACCAAATTCAACGCAACCAAGGGTATAAATAATAATAATAATAATAGTACTGATAATGATAATGATAATACTAAAATAATAAGAATAATAATAATAATACTACGCCCAGGGTCTCCATCTTTGGGACTGAAACCCATCGGTTTCCCTGAAAACATCAACCGGGGTTAAGTCTACCTTCTTGGGGCCTGTGGCATCCCCAACGTTCGCTCTGGGTTTGAGCACTTCGATCTCTCATGGTTCTTCTGCGCCCATGGTCGGACGCTTTTCAACGAGGGGCTCGAAGTCATGCTCCCCGTCAATGAAGACCAAATCCGGGGCCTGAAGTCGTATCGCATGGGCTTCGGATCGATCCTTTTACGTCCCAATCAGGGGTTGCCGTCGTTTCAGTGCGGAACTGAGGGGTTCCATTTAGTCGGATCCTCAAAGCTTTCCTCCGAAGCCCACATGGCTGTGGCTCAAAACCAATGGTATCCCATTTTGGGGTAGGTGAATGCACCACACATTTTAGAACCTATTTGAGGGGACTGAGCTGTTCACCGGGGGCTACGATTTGGCTTTTGACCCATGGCCACATGGCGCGCAACGCTGCACCGCGGATTTCGGGCATGGCGCTGGCCCCGTCCAGCCGGCGGCGGCGGCTGCGCTGCGCTGGCGCCACAGCCGAGCTCGGCCCTGGAAGCGGCTGTAGCGCTGCGCGGCCTGGCCTGAGCTGCTCTCTGGACATTGGGCTCTTGCAAAATCAGCGGCCCAATCCCAAGGGTTTTATCATTCTCTTGTACAAAAAGCAATGCATCAATACATAAAACTCACAACTAGACATGATGACACGTTGTACGGAAAATCCCAATGGTAACAAACAATACGAAACATATACCACAAATACACCTTATGTGTGTTTTTCTTCTTTACGCAAAAATGCACTTGCCCAAAGTCGCTCGGCCGGGGCTCGGAAGGCCTCCTCTCCACCCATGCCATCCAGCCTTTCGCGGCTCTCTTGGCCGTTGTAGCGCCCGAGGTATGGATCCACCCCGAGGATCGTCAGATTGGGCAAGGCCTCGAGCAACTCCTCGGAGGTCTGGCCTCAGTGACTTCAACTGACATCCGATCCCCAGGTCCCAGGTGTTCAGCCCCCGCCTTTGTCGACCCCGACCTCCACCATGAGATTGCCGGACCCCAGGATGTGCAGCAGCACCTGCCAAGTCCAACCCACTCCCCGACTCGACTCTTCGACTCTTCGACTCCCCGACCCGACTGCGCCGCGACTCCGAGGGACCGCGCCTGGGAGGGCTGCGGGGCGAAGAGCACCGGCGCCGGCACGGCGGCGCGGACGCGCCCCGCCGAGGCCGCGGCCACCGCGTCCACGAGCCAAGGCCAGGTGGTCTGCCCGAGCGAGGCATCGAGACAAGAACCAGGATCCGAAGCCGGTCCTGCATCCGCGCAATGCCCATGAAGCAGCCTGGCAAGGAACATGTGTGACCAAAATGATGCCCAAGACAACAACACAGCTCATGCAAGTGACTGCTTGGATTGCTAGAACCAAAGGTGACGCCAAAAGACTTTAGGAGTTCCAAGCCCCGCACCCCGCCTCCCAGGCTTGGCAACTGCGAGGTGCCCTCGCAGAGCAGCTCCCTGCGCCAATCCAGCGCGTAGAGCAGCTCCTCACTCACCTGGTCAAACGCCTGGCCTATGGCCGTCATGGCCATGGCATCCATTGCAACTGTTGGATCAAGTTGATCAACCAGGTTAGTCAGGATCCCAACTAGCGAGTTGATGCCCATCCCCAGCCAAGTAAAGACGTGTCTTTTCAAGCACTCACCTGGTTCATCCATATCAGCGCTACGCCGGCCGCTCCCATGCCCTCGTGGTGGCCAAAGTTCACCGTGCCGTTCCTGAGGCCCCGCGAGCCGCAGGCTTCTTCCCTCCAGAGTGACTTCTCAACCCCCGAAAATGAGAAGCCGAGGGTACTCCTGTTGCCCCAACGAATTCAAACGCAAATTCGGTACCTTCGGCACCTCGGGCTTCTGACCCGGGCTCGTTCTCGTTTTGACGCAGGAATGCGCCGCGCGTCTTCCGCGGCAGCGCCGTGGCCCACGCAGCAAAGGCGCGGAAGGCGGCCATGACTCGGCGCGTGGCGCCGGCGCGCTGCGCACAGGTCGGCCGCTCGGGACTGCGAAAGCCGGCGGTGGCTCAAAAATGGCATCCACAGAGTGGCACCCTGGCAAATGGAAACAAAGACTAAAACCTGCGGAGCCCTGGCTCTTGAATTTGGAGCCGCACTCAAAATTAGCATCAAATTGAATCAAGTAGCCCCCCCTTTTGAAAATTCCGAAGTGAGGGCCAAATTGCTCGGCGCCTGCCCGCCACTTGCAGCTCTGAAAGGAGACGTCGCCCGTGCTCTGCAGCCGTCAGCGCAATGCGCCGGTGCGGGAAGCGGCGCGGGATCAGCGAAGCAAACCACTCGCGCACCTCACGGATGGCATGCGGGGGCTGGGTGGCGGGGTGGCGGGGTGGCGGGGCGGGGCGGGGTGGTGCAAGTGCCACATGGCAAAGCTGCATGTGATCATGGCATTCAATGCCGCAACCGAACGGCACCTCGATCTGCAGGCTCCCCGCCAGCATGAATCATACGGTCTCTGGCCACATGGCTCCAAAGCATTGCAATGTTCGGCTTGCAGCCAGTGAACTCGAGCTCAACACGCTTGGAATGTGGGCTTGCGAATGTCATAAGCTCTTGCTGTGGTGTTTTGCTAAAAGGAGGGGCCGTGAACCGAGCCAGAAACCATATCCGTGCCTCTCATCCCCGACAATGGCTAACATAAAAGGAACTACAAGGCAGCTCATCACACATCTTTGCGTAGCATGTCGCACTTTGGGCCGATTGTCAGAAAAAGGCGGCGTCAGAATCGCACCCAACTCGTCGCACCGAAAAAAAAGGCCCTCGCATATATAAATCGCACTCGCGGGGGCTGACTTGTCTTTTCCACGCAGGATATCAAATCGCCGCGTCTAGGCACCTGCGGGTCAGTTTCATTCACTGGCGCAGCTGCCAGTGCCCATGCAACCGACTGCCCGACCCAAAAAAACTGATGCTTTGATCGAGTTTTCATGACTGCTTGAAGTAGTTCATGTGCTTGTATGACAGCTTACATGATAGCTTGATCAACATCAATCAAAGCCGAGCCATGGACTGGCCAAGGTGCACCGGACAGGCATGCCCGCTCTTCTCCCCCCCCACAACAAAATGAAAGAGGGCCTCGAAAACAGTTGAACAGACCTACCCTTTCAGCCCGCCCTTCGAAGCTTCCCACCCCCACCCCCCGCCCCCCCCTTTGCTCTTCGCGCTTCGCGCCTGCCCGCACCTTGGCGCGGAGATCCGCGAACCCCGTCCCCGGCGCCAAAGTCCCCACGAAGCTGTCCACCTCCAAATGTACCACCTGACTCCACGAGTCGAGTCCACTCGTTGGGCATGCCGGCGTAGGGAGCAGTTGGGTCGGTACTCTTTGCTTGCGCAAATAAGGGCAATCACCAAGCCAATCGCAAAGTGCAAGCCCACCTTTAAAGGCGGCTCCAGCTTCTGCATCGATTCCTGAGCTTGTTCCCATCCCAAACTCTGACAGAATGCGCATCTGAGGGTCTGGCCTCCAGCTCAGCCCGTTTCTTGCTCGGACACACCATGGACACCTTGGCCCATCCAAGCCCCAAACCGCTCGTAAAGCAGCGCAGCCCGGAGCCGCTCGTAACACGTGCGACGGCTCAAACATGCCGGGCTGCTGTGCGCCCACATCGGCCACTGAAAAGCGGGGCGATGTGCTTCTGCATGGCTTCCCGCACCGAGTCCTGACGCCGAAGCTTGCGAGCACTCGAAGCCAGAAACAGCATGCCGATTCATCGGCCTCTGTGACAGCCTGCACGGCTTTCAAAAGCCACTGGAGCTGGTCAGGCGGCGACCTTTGCAGCCTAAGCTCCAAGACATTTGCGCAGGCAGGGTTGCAGGCTGCCAGTGCCTCACGCCTTCTCTCTACGCACGTGCCATCATCTCTCATGTCGTCTTCTTCTGCCATTTTTGCCTCATCCTCTCTCTCATAAACCACGCCTTGCCTCAAATTGTCTCATCAAGTCTCATTTTTTGCCCTCCCCCGCCGCAGCCGCCATTTCCCCTCTCCTCCCCCGGTCCAAATCCCACGCTCACGCTTCCCACGCTTAGGCCCTGGCATCTGCTCGAAGGCCTCGCCCATGGCGCCGGGCACCGTGTCCACCGGCTCGATGAGGCCAAACAGCACCCCGCCTCACTCGACCGACGAATTTGACGGACGAATGGCCCGGCAGCAGCGAACGGAACGCAACACCTGGAGAGCGCTGCAACGAGCCCTCACAGACTTCGACTTCACTTTTGGCGGGTTCCGGAAAACCCCTTGATGTCCCAAATGGCTTTAGAGTCGAAAGAACCAACCCGATAGCAAGACACGATGCACTCCCCCTCCCGCGTCTCAACAGTAAGCACTTGCTAACGGGGCATCTGCCATCCCTGGGCGCCCTGCTCTGTGCTGCTTCCAACGCCGATGGGTCGAGGCCCTCTTCATCCTCATCCTCCTCCTCCTCCTCACCGGCGCCCTCTTTCATGTCCGCATCTGGCAGCTTGCAGCCCACAGCTCGCATGAAGGGCATCGCTTGAAAGATCAAATCGTATGACACGGCTCTGAAGCTTCAAACAAATCGCGAGGTCTCCGAAACGCGAAGACGGCTCGGCGCACTTGCGCGCCTTCGGAGCAAAGTTGCTCGATGATGGCCCCGGCCGCTGTGTAGGCGGCTACGGGGTTGGTGGCCTGCGATCCGAAGCTCGGAGGCGCAACCGGCGAATTCGCGTGACTCGCGACCCGCGCGGCCGAGTCGGGCCTGCGACAGGGAGAACGTCAGCTTTCCGGCCTCCAGGTCATGGCTGAGCCCGTAGCCGTACCTGGGGGCGTTCCGCATGCAAGGAACAAAAGCCATGCTCTCACAACTTGGAAAGGATGGCACCACTCCCCCCCTTTGGATTCGCCATCCCCCAAGCCAAAAAAAAACAACAGCAGGAACTCCTGCCATCCACCCGTCAACCCGCTTCCAATGCACAAACGCGGATGGCTCACGAGTAGCCCTTGCCGCGGATCTTCCGCCAGAAGGGTCCCTCCAGCGCGGTGATGTACTCGATGGCCACCAGCAGCGGCGCCAGCTCCGGAGACCGCGGGTCCGTGAAGGAGTCACACTGCACCAGCCAGTAGTTGGACTCCTCACATGGGCGGCTCGTCCTTTTTTTTGGATTTGGAGCCCGCCGAAAAGGGGATTCTAGGCTTTCCTCTCTGGCTTCCCTTTTGCAACCAACGAAAAGGGGGTTCCATCAAAAAAGGACACGCCGCAATGCCTGGATCCTGTCCCGGCCCGGCCTCTGCGGAACTGGACACCAAGCAGCCCCAAGTGCACCTGCTTGCGCATGACGCAAGCGGTCTGTCAACCCGCGGAAAGGTTCACAGCGAACAGGCGGGTGGTGTCCTTGTTTGAGGAGTCCCCTGTACTAGGAAACCAGCATCATATTTTGGGGAGACACACACCCCTGCTTCAGCGTTCAAGAGGGAAACCCACAAATGGAAGAAAACAAAAACAAGAAAAAACAACCTCTTGTTTCGGGGAGACACACCGCTGCTTTTGGGCTTCAAGGGTTAAACCACCTGCTTTTTCTTTTCTTCGGGGGCAAGTGGGGGGCCCAGCGAGGGAGGGGAGGAGGGGTTGCCATCGGGAGCAAAACCGACGCGCGCGAACTCCGGTCTCTCGCGGCGGGCGCCGCGCCCCTCCGGTGGCCGCAGCGCGTCCGCCGCGTAGAGCTCCCGCCGCAGGGCCGGCAGCGGCGACGCGGCCGAGGCGGCCGAGGCGGCCGAGGCGGCCGGCGAGTAGCCGGCGGCGCCTGACTCGGGCGCGCCAAAGGGCGGATCGAGGAATTGGGGCCGAGGACCTTTTCAGGGGGAACCTCCAAAGTTGTTTGCTGGGTGTGTTCTCGTTTTTTGTTTGAGGCTCTTGGTGATGCGACTTTCACCTTGACATTTCTGGCCGAAGGCCATGTTTGTCTTGTGCCGAGGACATGTTCATGGGGAACCACCTAAGTTGAGGGACATGAATTCTCCTGCCTTCCGGAGGTGTCCGAATTGGATTCGCAGCCCCCAGAGAGTTGAGTTTCCGAAATGGCTTCTGCCTTTAAACCAAGGTGAAAGAGGTATCAAAACACACGCGCCCAAATCCCACTGCGACGTTGACGATTGAACGCTCCTGTGGCCATGAAAGGGCCCAAGCACCACGGCTTGAAGATGTTGTCTAAGGCTGCAATGTCACCAGATACATATGCCTTGGTGCCAAACATGGGATATCCACCAGCAGACGCATTTTGTCTGAGAGCCGCTCTAGCGCGCCAGGGGCCAACAACTCCTTCTGCAGCTGCGCCAACTCCACGGCCGCGCCGCCCTCCTCAATGCCCTCACATTCAGCACAGAATGGAATGGAGATGTTCACTTCACTGCCATACCTCTTGAAAAATCAATCCTGCCCAGTGGCTATTGGCCGTAGGGCCAGGGCGCCGTGCCAGTCAGGGGTGGTTCCCCCGTCTTAAAGGATATGGCCAACCTTTCGGGGTTCCTTTGAGGGTCCTCCGGATTCATCCGAAGTTTACATGAGCCACAATTAAAACCCGGTACAAAAATGGCTTACCCAGAACCATGTAAAGAATTGGATTAAGAAGGCGGCCGCACCTATTTATGGTTGGGAGCGTCCCTTACTAACCTTCATCTACCCGTGTTTTGATTGTGACTCCATGAAGAGCTTGGTCGGGTTCTCGTCCGTCCCTGCCTTGAGCAGCTTCTCCACACGAAAGACGTTGAAGGCACCATGCGCCGAGCTGTCACTGAGGTCCAAAGCGCCCATAGCCAGGCGCATCAAAAACTGGCAGCAGGACATGTCAGCTTCCCCCCTGCTTGGTGGCTTGGATTGGTGGTTTTGTGATTAGGGCCTGGTTTACCACTTATCCTCTGGGGGTCTAAATCCAAACCAATCCAAGCCGCAAAAATGATCCTGGGCAACTTCTCTCACTTGTTGAAAGTTTATTTTCTTTCTAAGGACCCTTTGATCAACCCCCGCATGGGGGCTTCATCTCCACAGATCTGAGATCCGAGCCCTGCCGTTGCGCTTGCTGTTGGGCACGTCATTCAGCATGCGCTTCACCGCCACTTCTAAGCGAGGCACCGAGAACCTCCGAGAAAAAATGAGGAAAGAAGAAAGGCAAAGCGATTCCTTGCGGGGAAGGGGGGGGAGCAAAATCCGATCCGATTTTTGGCTAAGAGAACTGCCTCCAAAAGTCCCAAAGCGCTTCAAAGCTGAAAGAGTTACTCCATGACCTAACTTGGAACCCAAATTGGGGGGGTGGCCCTTTAGGGGTTTCCTATACACGTTGCTTTTTTGGGGGGTCTTGGGGCTCTTGGGTCCATGTTCGTCTGGGTAGTTTGGCATGTCGAGCAGCTCGGCGTCGGCCAGCAGCCGTGCGATCAGCCAGGGCGCCTTCTCGTATTGCGCACGCTCGACCTGCAACGCGCGTGCGCCCGGGCGGAGAAAGCCCGTGGATTGCCTGCGTTCCTGGATATGTCCTCATGGCACCTGCCATGCGAATCCAAAGGACCCCCTTTTTTCCCCGACAGTTGCCCAAAGGACCCAGCAAGAGACCAAAAAAGGCGATCACCTCCCTCCTTTTGGGGGGCCCCCCCCCAAAAAAAAAGAGAGCGACCACCGGGAAGCAACAAACCGGAAGCTCCCAACTCCCTCGACCTCAGACCGCAAGCCGTCGATGGATCGATGGCCTTGAGGGAGATGTGCAGCATGTTGGGCGCCTGGCCGGCGCGGAAGCGGCGGCCCCCCATGCCCACGCTGAAGCTGCGGTGCACCACCGTGTCCTCAGCGCCCGTCCGAAGCTACGAGGGTTTTTTGGTGGGTGAGGTGGGTGGTGGGGGAGGTGGTTGGTTGTCCTTTGAAGTTTGTCTTCACTTCCTCTTGGTCGTGCGATCTGTCTGATCCTGCTTGTGAATCGTGTTGTGCTTCTTTATGCCTCTCGCCGTCTTAGCAACTCTGATTGGGACTCTTTCTTGCTTTCAGGAGCCTTTTAGAGTTGGACTTCTGAGCTCTATTTGTCTTCCTTTCTCCTTGCTCTCACCCTTGTCTCCTGTGCTCCTTTGCGTTGTCGTGTTTGCTCTTCTCCTTCCTGGCAACATTCAAAATGACGGTTTCCCTTTTGCCCTTCCTCAAGCCAACCAAGCCAACTCAAAAAATCACACCTGGACCTCTCCTTCAACAGTTCCAACCTGCCAGCGGTTCCTATCGAAACCAGCCCTCGAGGTTCCAAATCCCCCTGCAATTGCAGACTCAAATCCAGATACAAATCCTTCGTGTTCTTGCTCTCGTTGGTTTTGAGTTCCCTTTTCCGAGGACAAAACCATCTCCAATGCCCCGCCCCACTACCTCCTTACGTCCTTACAGAACTCCCCCAACCTTTAAACCAAACCCGAAACCCGAAACCCGAAACCCGAAACCCGAAACCCGAAACCCCGCCAGCGACCCCCCCAAACCCGCAACCCTGAAACGGGCCACCCGCTCAAACAAGGCACACTCTCTCCTCAAAATAACTTTGAGAGGAACCTCCTTTTTAGAGACCTTTTCTTTGGGGGTCAATGCTAATTTGCATCGGAGTACTGAGTGAGGTTCTGCACGTTTCCATTGTGTCCCCCATCCGAGCGAGTCATTGACCGATCCGAGCGAGAGAGTGACCGCGCGAGCGGCGGTGAAGAGCTGCACCACCTCCTCGTGGCTCAGCGCCTCGCCCAAGGCGCTGGACGCCATCGGCAGCTCGAAGGCGGTGTCGCACCACAGAGGCAGCAGCTCCTCGCGTCTCGCGTCGGGAGCCCGGCGGCCGAGCGACCGAGCGACCGAGCGACCGAGCGTCGGGGCTCGGAGAAGGGGAAGGCGTGGTGGCCGGAGGTAACCGGTGCGGCTGCCGGGGAAACTTGCCAAAAAAAAACACAGAGAGGAACCGAATGTGGTGAGTGGAATTAGGAGCTGGCCCGTCTTTCAGCTTTCCCGTTTTATTCCTCTTACGACCTACCAAACATGGTTTCCCGGAAATCAGACTACAACCCTCTGCCTGGCTTTGAAAGCAAACCAGGCAGCTAAAAATAGCTGCTCTGCTTCCTTTGAATTCAAACTTGGTTGCCAGGGGAATAGTCGACAGTTGAAATAGAAAGTTGAAATATGGGAATATGGGTAGAATATGGATAGAATATGCACAGAATATAGAATGACATGAAGCAAGGCTTGGGAACAAACATTTCAAAAAGTATGGAAGAAGAAAAAAGAGGAGCTCCAGCTGCCGGGTCGTCAGCGTGGTAATGGGCACCATGATGTGGCAGGTGATGAACTGGGCACCTGCAAGGGCAAAAGTCCAGTGGAATTCCATGGGAAAACGAGCATCGGCATCCTGTTTTGGGTTGACTTTAAAACCTTAAAGGTGAGCTGCCCCCCCCCCAAAAAAAAAAAAAACAAGGGGCGCCAGGGACTGAAAGATCAACAGGCCCGATGTTGGCCTGCAACATGGTCAAAGTGGAAGTTCAAAGATGGCAGCTCGACGCTTGCCGCCTCTGCCACGCGCGCCTGGCAGAGCACACACGCCCATCCAGTGTCCCATTCGCTCCCTCACTCCTGCCTTCAACTGCGCAGCGTCCTTTCCAAAGACTGCTTGTGATAGGCCGTTCTTGACAGTGACTGTGGCCACATCCTTAGACATCCGACAAAACATCTCAGTGAGACTCAGTTTGGACTCTGGACTAGGCATATGGTTGGTTTAGCGCTGGAGGCATCTTTCCTGCCGTTCCGAGCCGCGATGAGCTGGACCTTGGCCACATCCGGCACCGAGAACTCCGCGGAGACCTCCTCGGGGGTCTCCACGTCGTTCTCCTCCTCCGCCGCGGCCACCTGCTCCCCGCACTGGGCGCAGCCCGCGTCCCCCAGCCGCGTCTTCTGCTGGGCGATGCGCTCGGCGTCCGCGGATTGGAGCCGCTCGCCGCAGGCCTTGGAGGGCCGGCCCACCACGGTGACCCCCGGCGTCGTCAGGAAGCGCCGGCACAGCTCCGCCCAGCGCGGCGCCGGCCAGGACAGCACGGCCTCCAGCGTGCTGGGGGCGTCCAGGCGCGCCCGCAAGGCCTGGCCCGCGGAGGCGTCCGAGAAGACCGGGCTGCCCGGGGCGTACATGAAGGCCCCGATGATCTCCCCGCTGAAGAGGTCGTGGGGGTTGGACTCCACGGCCGACAGGTGCTGCCGCTGCTTCTGGCGGATCACGCTCCGCAGCCGCGGGAGGTCGATGCCGGAGCCGTCCGCCTGGGCCGTGCGCTGGAACACCGCCTGCACCTCCGCGGTGACGTCCCGGCACGACAGCTGCTCCACGTCGCAGCTCTTCAGAGTGATGTTGATCAGCTGCTTCTTGTACTCGTGCAGCCCCTCCGAGATCTTCCCACACAAGGGCGGCACCGTTTCCACCAGGGCCTTCCGCAAAGGGGAGATTGAATCCTCACCTTAGCCCAGTTTCAAGCCGCAACCGCCCCAAAACCCCCAACCCCAAAACCCAGTTCAATTGAGCCTGGCACAGAGATAGCTGAGAAGCACTTTCAATGCCGTCACGCTCTCCAGGTCAGACCAATCTGAGTCCAGTGCTCTACATGGGACTAAGATGGTCTAAGCCACCCGTGCCTGGGCCATGCCAGCAAAGCTCGCACACTGCTCCAGTGGTCTCGTCTTCCGCGGGGAACTCCATTCTGCGCGGAGCAACGCAGCACCGCACGGCTTGCACGCGGGGTGCTTCAGTCCACGCCTCACTTCCTGCTGCTCTGTGGGCCGCGGCACCTCCGAAGAAAAGGGCCTCGGTGCCCCAAACGCGGCGCCCACCCCGCCAGCACCGCCGGCACCCCACGCTCCCAGCACCTCCAGCACCCCGCCTCTCCATGGGTGGCAGGGCCGGGCAGCCGCGGATCGCGGCCACCGTGGGCGCGCAAGCTTCACACAGCTGCTTGAAGGGCACTTGCCCCGTGACGATGACACACAGGTTGTCCGGCCTGGTGTCAGCATGTGCTCATTTTTTGTTTGTCCCCCGAGGCACCAAAGCGCCTTTCGCGACCGAAAACCCAACAAAAAGAAAAGAAACGAAAGGAGCCTGTAATAAGTCTGGTGATACTCTCGCACCGTGGAGTTGGTGAGCTCCCTCAACTCCTCGCAGCTCAAAGTCACCAGCTTGGTCACCAACAATGTGCTCGTCTTGTTCTCTTTGTTTTTGTCTTTCTTGTTGTCACCCCCTTTTGTGTGTGGTCCATCTCTTGTTTGGAAACCAGGGGGGAAAACCAGGAAATCCTTTTGGGAGAGCCACCAATTCGAGCCGCGCCTTGAGGCGTCCGCCGGTCTCGGCCTTGTAGCCACACTTCCCCGGGAACGCGGCCAGGCGCATGGCGCGGTCGCACATGTCCCCGGCTTCGTTCTCCCTGTGGCTGGCTCGCGTTTCTTTTTTCTTTTGGGGGGGGGGGAGCACCCCCAAAATGTGGGACGTCCTTTTTGGCGTTGCTTCTAAAACCACGAAAAACTGGCTGCCCTCAAACAAACGTCTCTTTTGGCGCAACTCAAAAGAAGACGAGGCGCCCAAATCGAAGTCGACGCCGAACGATTCGACGCCCGCCTGGCTTGCATCTCGCAATAAACGACCCCCGCATCAGCGCCCTCGGAGAGGAATTAAAAAAAAAAAAAACGACCGCATGGCCCACACTACGCATGGCCCCCACACGCCTCTGCCGTGATGTGATGCACCTCTGTCACAAAACCGCTGTCCTGGCATGCGGTTTCCCAGATGCATCGATTGCCAGCCATGCCCGCCTTCAGCGTAGGGAACAGCACGTGGTCCAAGTACACGGGCAGTAAGCGCAAGAAGCCCGCTGCCCCAGCTGTGTCCACCGTATAGCACGTGTGATCCTCAGCTCCCAAACTCTTCTCACGTTGGGTCTCGGGGAAAGGGGAGATCTAGAAGGAAGAAACCCAAAGGAAAACCTTTTACTGATTGGCCCACCCTAACCCTTTGAGAAAACTTGGCGTCCACGAGTCCCGTGACGAGCTCCCCAGCTCCCACGTTGCAAGCCGGGTCGCTGTGGCGGTCCAGGCGTTGGTGCCCTGTGCCAGGCAGCGGTTCGCCAGCACATCCAGCACACCTCCCACGCGCACGAGCCGAGATCATACCCAACGGCTCGAGCCAGCGATGGGCGATGGATCTCAACCCAACCGTTTCGCCGCCTCGCCTTTGTAAGGATACCGCTGGCTGCCCAAAAAGATCAGGTGCTCCAGGGTGTGAGGGCAGCCGTAATCATCAAAAGCTTCCTCCGAGCGGCGGCGTGAACAATTTGAATCCGAGCTTGCACTGCCTCAGCGCCTGAGCTGTTTTCCTTCCTTCCTTTTATGAGCCCAGCGCCGTATGCAGGGTGAAATAGCCGTGCACCGTGGGGGATTTCACCTGACCAAGCCAAAAAAAAAAAAAACCCCCCGCGGCCGCGGCTTCGGCGCATGCGCCAAGCCATGCCCCGCCCGGCAGGCCGCAACCCGCAAGGCCTGCGCGGCAATGACCCGCAGCCCGGTCTCGGAGCACTGGTACAGCGCCACGGGCACCTGCGAGAAGCGGGGCCCAGTGGCGTCGAAACCGAACCCCCCAAAACAAAATGCGCGACTCGTCTTGGGCGTCCCATATAAACCAAAGCTGAAAAAGACGGTACCCTCAAAAAACCCGCTCATGGTGGTCTTTTTGGCGAAAGGAGGCACCCTCGAGCTTAAACCGAGGTGAAAAGGGGCACCAACTCCAAAAAAAAATGCACATGCGTCCTTGAGCAAGCACACTGTATGCGATGCTTGGGTATTTCACCGCTTTCCCCGCCGTTTACGAAGAAAACGAACATCGAACATTTGTTCGCCTCCTCGTAGGTGAAATGGAACTTCCGCTGGAAGGTGTCAACCTCGGCTCGTTGGCTCAGCCCTGGCTGGCAATGGCTCTCGCTGAGGAGCCCGCCACTTCTGGCACATCCATCGCGGACATGGCTCCCGCCCAAAAGATCTGTGGCTCAAGTGTTCGCCATCCGGCTCCTTCGTTCGGGGCAGGTCATGCTCCACAGATTCGCGGTTGGAATAGCTTCGTCACCTTGGAAACTGGTGGGCATTCAATCTGGCGGCAAGTTTCTTGATAAACCCTTGTGCGCGTCTGTGTGGTTGCATTCAGATTCATATTTACTTCATGTGTGTGCCCCAATGCATGAGCTTTGTAATATGTCTTGTGTGTAAAAAGTACGGCGAGGGTTGAGGTATGCAGCAGAGCGGTATCAGGTTGAAATGCTAGCCTCATAAATTCAATGCAAGCAGCTTGCTCACACAGCTGGCAAGCGCGGTTCGGTTTCTTGTTTCAGCAGCTCGACGCGAGTGCTCGAGGCCATCTTTGTGGCAAACTGCTTCCTAGTTGGCATGCAAAGCATCACTCAATCCTGGCTTTGCGACACATGCGAGAAAGGTCGCTGCAAGCATCTATCGCTCGGGCATGTATGCTCATTTGGGTGTTTTTGCAAGGAAGCCATTTTGGTGGGGCCCCCCTATTTCGACACGGGGCTGTCTCTTTGTTGGCAGCTCGATACCCAAAGCTTTTCAATTTGGGCGTGACTTCCACACGCACACACACACACACACAACAAAAAAAAACTTCGACCCATCCGAAGAGCGCGGACCAATATCGCTCCTGGCGGCGGCCTGTGCCAGCTCTGTGACCGTGACCGCCCGCAAGCGCCGCTCCCGAAGGCCTGGAGAGCCGTCCAGGCAGCTCTTTCTCTATAGGCCCTGGGGGTTTGTCGGGGGGGTTTGGAAAGGTCCCCCGAAGACTAGAGCCTCCATTTTGGCGGCACCTTGAGAACCTCGCGAGTGAAAGGCCGGCTGTCCTTCCAGAAGGAGCCGAAGAGCTTCAAAGTTGTGCTCTCGGAAGCCTCAAACCCCAAGAGCCGCCAAACTAAACTATCGAACATGCAGCCAAGGTGCCTCGCTCAGGCATGTGGATCACCTCAATCAATGAACAAAAGTCAGAGTGTTGCAGCAATGTCTGCAGTTGCTCAGCTTCCACGTTCAGAAGCCCTGAGCCAAGTGGCAATGATCGAGCCACCCTGTTGGTCGACCATGGAAAGTAGCGTTCTTGCAATGAATGCGGGATCACTGATCTGCGTGTCATTCGCGAAGCTATCCTGCCATTGACCGCCGCACATGCTTGCATTGAGGCCAGATAGGGGCATGTCAGCAAGGCCAACCTATTGCAAGTGAAACCATCTGACTACATCTTGCCAAGCAGCACATAGCACATTTGTGAAACCATCCTCGGTCAAGACCTGGCACTACGCAACTCTGCCGCTTTCAGAAATTCAGGGCCCACCTTCTGCATGGCAGAGCTCAAATCCGCATGGGGCGCGCGGAACCTTCGCTTCCGCAGGCCGAGAGCTCAACCCGCGGAACAAAACGGCCGAACCCATAGCCACGCTGCCAGCGGAAGGGTTGGCTCATCGCCTCTGGCGGCACGGCGCTCTCAGAAGGCTCCTCAGCATCGCAGTCATTCGAAGAAACCTTAGGGAAAACCACTCTAGGAACCATCCCTCCCGGTTGTGTTAGGGGACCCCTATTGACTATTGATTTCCTTGGCGCGCCTCAAGGGTCACTTGAGCGCTTCCTGAAAGCAATCCGCGGCCGAGGCGCCGCATCTGGCCCCACACGTGCGCGTGCACGAAGCTCCTCGCACACGTTCCTGAGATCGGTATGCGCGCGGTCAGCTGGTTTGTGGCTCCACACCGGCCGTCCCTCCACCAATCACGGTCATGGAGCCGCGCATTTTTTGCCGAACGGCTCACAAAAATCGCGCCCTGCCCCTCTCGTCGCGTGACCTAGTCCTTCCTTTCACAGCAGGATCAAAGCGGAAGGCTTGAAACAAAACTCATCGGCGATTGCAACAAATCCAACATTGGGGGTCCATTTTTGTTCACTCCGGCTTGCCTGGCCCGCTTTCCCTGTGGCAAAAATTCGAGCCGCTCAGCGCTGGATGAACTGCATGGAGCTGATGGCCCCCAGGAAGAAGACGGTGGGCACGACCAGGGCGTGCACGGCCAGCCAGCGGAAGGTGAAGATGGGATACGCCACCGGCGTCCGCGCCACCGAGGCCTTCTCCGCCTGCCGGGCAGTGCCGCGCGCCATGGCGGCCGCGTAGCCCAAGCTGGCGCCCAGCGCCAAGCAGAAGCCGCCGCTGGTGCCGAAGCGCGGCTCGGCCTCAGCGCCCGGAGCCGCGCTCGCCGAACGGACGCCGAAGCTGCCGATGGCTTCGGTGCGCACCGTCTGGGCCGTGGGAGGCACGAAGGCCACGGCCGCAGTGGCAAACACGCAGAGCAGCAGCACGCGCATCTCGGCTCTTTGCGGGAAGGGAAGCAAGGAGACGTTCGAGCCGAAAGCTGCAGCCTCCGTGAATGCCAAGCTGCGTTCACAAAGGCCTGTACAGGTGCTCATCTCATAGAAACCAGCTACAGGAAACTGGAAATTGGCCAAGTGCCGAATTCCCTGCTGCTGGCATCTTGGATCATTCCGCATGACTCGTTCCCATCACTTGCAGCGAAGCCACTCTGCCCGGTGAAAGGCCACCCGGAAGTCCGGCTCAGGCAGGCCGCCGTAGGGCTGGTCTGAGCAGCAATGGTTCGCTACCTGCCACAAACAGATGTCCATAATCTCCCTCCCATGTTTGCGGTTGCCTACTTCACACAGGACGTTCGCCATCCAAAACATGCTTTAGCACCCCAACCCCCCCCCCAGCAGCATGCATCGCATGGCACCCCCCTTGCTCACGCACCAGCGCCTCACTGCCAGCACGGAGTAAATCGATCAAGGCTTCCTCGTGGCCGGGGACTGTGTCTGTACCTTTGCCAGTCATGAAAAAGCCGGGCTTGTCTCAAACTCGGAGCCCCGGAAACCCAGTTTTGGCTGGCTTTTGTTGGACGCTCCTAAGGCGATTCTGTTTCCTAGGGGTGCCCAAAACCAACCCCACCAACAGGCGCTTCTGTTCCCGAACAACCCAGGAGCCCCTCGAACAGCTGGCACGCCGACCCCGCACTTCGGCTTCTTTCGCTTCGAGCGGCAGAGGAAGAAGGTGGCCGTGGCGTCGAAGCTGCCCAGCAGCTCCTCCAAGCCGACGCCGAGCGACGGGCGTGACACCGGGCGGGTCGCGCGGATTTTTAAAAGGGAAGCCGGAAGGGGAAAAGAACGAGGACCGTTTGGGGGGGATGTCTTTTCTTGAGGGTGCCCTGTTTGGTTGGTTTTAAAGATAAGCCAAAAAGGGCTCAAGCCGTTGCCGTTTTCCCTTGGAGGTCCCTTTGGGGCCATCGGGATCTCTCCGAGCGCCGGCGCCTTCACCTCAGGCACCATGGAGGTCTCGGCCCGGCGGCAGGGCGCATCGTCGATGGTCAGCGCCACCAGTCCGGCAGCGCCCGGCAGGTCACCTCGCGACCGATTCCATCAACATCCATCAACCCCCTTATGCTATGAGGGTACCCCCTACCGGCTTCTCCAGGAAGAGCACAAATTCAAAATCCATAGCTTTGGAGGCGGAGATGGGTTCCCAAGCCTTTTGCAGGGTTCCATATCAATCTTATTTTTTCATCTGGAACCCCGGCGCGCCTGCGTCGTAGAAGCACAGCGCCTGGGGGTCCAAAGCCTTCCAAACGCGTCGCGGATGCAATTCCCCACGCCCAAGCTGGTTATTCATTATTGGGATCATTTTGCTGACGGATTGTTTGGTTGTTTCTCTGTTATTTGCGGGTGGAGGGGTATCAGGATCTGTCCGGTTCAAAGGTTCAACTATTTCTATAGTGGTAAAATAATGAGGCCAGCATTGGTCGAACGCAACCTCACCGTTGAAATTCAGCCCTTGCAAGCGGGGCCTGCGCAATTTGCCGCGACGGAAGCGTTGCCGCTGCGCGAACCATCGCTTTGTTCAGCTTGGCAAACAGCTTCCCTTGCTGAGAGTCCTTGGTTTGCCAACCGGTGACCCTGCGACAATTGATGGCTGGGCACGTGCGAGTTGTCTTGCAGGGCAACGAGCCGCTGCCCAGAAACAACAAATGACTGCAACCAGGTACCAGCAAACAAAGGGAATTCACCGTAAAAAGTCGTTTGCGAGCCCCCCCCCCGACCCCCCCCCGACCCCTCCCAAGTATGGGACGCGGTTGGGCCAGGGCTCCGCTTTGTCTCTGAGCGCTTGCCAGTCTTGCGACAGTTCCTGTGACAGCTCCTGGCGGTGCGTCTCCTTTTGAGGGTGCCCTAGGGTTGGCTAGAAATTAGAAGGGGAACCCTTACAGGAGAACCACAGTGTTAGGGTCCAGAGTCACTTGCTCAAAACCCGGTGTTCAAATGGTCTATCCGGAACCATGTGAAGAATCAAGAAGGCGGCCGCAACTATTTCTGGCTGGGACTGCCCCGTAACCTTCATCTACCCGGGTTTGATTGTGGTTCACCTTTGAGACACAAGGTGTCGGACGTCACCCTTGTCAATCTGTCCAATCGCCAAACTCGCCTGGGCCCGGGCGGAGAGCTGTAGTCGTTGATCTGCTTGAGCCACCTCGGAGGCCAGGCTCAAGGCTATGTCAACAGGTGGGCCCTAAAAGTTGGTCTCCCCTTTGAACCAACCCCCAAAAAAGGGGGGCGCACCCAGGTGTCAAAATAGAGGACTTAAAAAATGGCAGTGTTCAAAACCAGGATGAGAGGGTACCAACTCAAAAACAGCTCACATCAAAAAACTAGAGCCGCGGGCGGCCCGAAAGCATAACATAGAGCGAGCCTTGAACTCAAGCATTCTTGCGTTCATACGTTTTTTGCGCGCAAACGCTCAAGCCAGAAAACGTGTTTGGAGTCGCAACGGCTCTCTGCACTAGTTTCTCTGCGCCAGTTCTGCGTGCAAGCTCTGTGCGCTCGTAGGCTCTGCGCAGGTTCACTCTGCAAGCTTCTTGCACAAATATCTATGCAAGACACGCTCTTTGCTCTCATCTGGTCGAGCTTCTCTGCACAAGTTCTGGACGCAAATGTATCTGCGCGAGCTGTCTGTGCAATCTGCTGTTTGCAAGCTTTGGTTGCGCAAGTTCTCGACGCAAGATTCCCTACCGCCTTACGGGGCTAGGTGTACTTTCGAGCCCACGCTTCTCGCGTAAGATGTTTGGCGCGTTTGTAGTTTGCTGCGACCCTCCAAAAAAAGGAAGAAAAAAACATGAGCCAAAATAGGTTTTGGGCCCAAAGCTGTTCAAACGGAAATGCGCCAGCTGCGAACATGTCCCCCAGACCCCAAAGAAAAAGAAGGAAAGACAAAAACTCCAACCCCCCCCCCAAAAAAAAAAAAAAAAAGTCCACCACCCCACCCCACCCCCTTTTCGCCTTTCGCCGCCTCTCGGAGCTACGCCCGCACCGCCCCCCGACCGCCGGGCCACCCGCTGGGAGAGCCGCAGCTTCTGCTCCGCGGCCGAGGCCGCCTCCGACAAACCCTCCGAGAGGCCCAGGCGCTGGTCCACCGAGGCCAGGGCCTCCGCGCGCGCCGACGGGGCTGGGGGTGATCCCCAATCTAGACATGGGAAGATTGGAAGACATGGACCAACGTGCTCCACATAAAAGCGACCCATGGGAAATTCGGGATGACTGGGGCTACAAATTGAAGGATATGCTCCACATGAAGGAAAAAAGACATGATCCTGGCCCATGGTCATCCGGCACCACAAAATACACAAGGATTTTGGAGGGGGTTGATTAAGAATCCCTTCGTCCGCAAATGACATGGGTAACCTTTCCCATGTGGTGAAAGCCATCCTGGCGGTGTCCCATTTAGTGGTCATCTTTTTTGATCAAAAGGCCGGGTAAGCATGCAAACCGAACGCCGTCTTGATACAGGATACAGGGGCATCAAGGAATGCATGCATGCATGGATAAATCAACGAAGGAACGAATGAATGAATACGTGAATGAATGAAGGAATGAATGCATGCATGGATGACTGAATGAACGAACGAATGAATGAATGACATGGATATGGACATGGACATGGACATGGACATGGACATGGACTGGAATTGACTGGAATGGAATGGAATGAAGGAATGAATCAAGGAATGAACGAATGAAGGAACAAAGGAATGAATGAAGAAATGAAGGAAGGAATGAAGCAATGTGGGAATGAAGGAATGAAGGAATGAATGAAGAAATCAAGGAAGGAATGAAGCAATGTGGGAATGAAGGAATGAAGGAATGAATGAAGGAATGGAGGAATGAATGAAGGAAGGAATCCATGAATGAACAAAGGAATGAATGAAGAAATTAAGGAAGGAATGAAGCAATGAAGGAATGCGTGAAGGAAGGAAGGAAGGAAGGAAGGAAGGAAGGAAGGAAGGAAGGAAGGAAGGAATGAATGAAGGCATGAAGGAATGCATGAAGGAATGAATGAGGGAATGAAGGAAGGAAGGAAGGAAGGAAGGAAGGAAGGAAGGAAGGAAGGAAGGAAGGAATGAATGAATGAATGAATGAAGGAATGAATGAAGGAATGAATGAATGAAGGAATGAATGAAGGCATGAAGGAATGCATGAAGGAATGAATGAAGGAAGGAATGAATGAAGAAATGTGGGAAGCAATGAAGCAAATGAAGGAATGAAGGAAGGAATGAAGCAATGAAGGAATGCCAGGAATGCGGGAATGAAGGAATGAAGAAACGAAGGAATGAAGGCATGAATCTAGGTGTACTTTTATATATTGAAGATCCATGGTCCAGACCTTGGTGTGGTAGCAACATGTTTTTCAGCGCTCTGAAATGGTTAGAGTCCCTTTTGTTTCCCGCAAGCTAACTAGCAAGTGGATGAACTCCAGATTTGGAATGTGTCTCATTAGGAAGTCGCCGGCCTTTAAAAGACTTGTGTTTTTTGTTTTTGTTCTTGGCAGCGCCCTCCGTAAACATGAGCAAACAAAACTAAAAGCATGACAACGAGGCATATGCATGCATCATGCAAACTCTCGATTTGCACAAGCAAAACCTCCAGGAGCTTAACGCAATTGGGTCACTGTGCGTGTGATAGAAGATATGGGGCCGAAACTTACCATCACATGGCAGACGCCCCTTTTCTTTCCGGGAAGCCTCGGAAAGTGGCTGGTTCCTCCAGATTCGGAGCGTGTCTCGCAAGTTGGAAGTCCCCGGCGCGCGGAGGGAGGTGTTCCTCAAACGGCCCCTCGGACGTCACACGCCGGACGTCGCGTGTCAGGCGCCTCGCTGCCCTTGGCCAGCATCTTGGCCCCTTGGCTGCCTTACGCCAGCGAAGTCTCGACAGAGGCCACGCGGTTGCACGGACGGGGCGTCTCAGGTGTCTGTGGCCTTTTAGTCTCCTTTCCGGCAAACCACAAAAAATACAACAACCCACAAAAAACAGAAGCCCCCAAACAAAAAAATGGGACAGCCCAAAGAAGAAGCAGCCGGAAAGAAAAAAAAGGCGTTGCTTTCAGACCACCGCGATGCCAACGCTCTGCGTCGTGGAGTCCACCGCGCCCTGCAGAGCTCGCAGCCAGCGGCGGCCGCGCACCACCTCAGCCGGCTTGCCCAGCGCCCCCGACCGGGCGCTGGCTCTTCTTTCTTCGGGGGTTTGTTTTTTCGGGTTGGGATGGGAACCCAGGGTTACGCGAAACCTCTGGTGCGTTTTGCTTGCGGGGGTGCCCCCGTTCAGTGCTTTAGTGGGGATTCAAACCACCTTTGAAGGCCCTTGCTATGACTGGGGACGGGCGCCTGCTTGGCGCTCGCAGCGGCGAGGTTGGACATGCCGCTGGGCCTCGGGTTTTTCTGCCAGTCCCAGCTTCTCTGGTCGAAGCCGCGCCTGCTTGGCGATTGGCTGGCATCATCCGCATCCATGGCAGGCCATGGGAACAGACGCCAAGGTCAGCTCGGAACGCCAGAGGACTGGGAGGACATGGCTCGGTATGAACAGCTTGCAGCTGTCCGGATAGTTGCACCTTGAACATGCCGTGTCGCGCTCGTGTCTTGCTGCCATGCTGCTGAAAGAAGTACGCGATATTGCCCAATGCATCTTGCAGCGACTTGGCCTTTGCTCGATATGTGCGTCAGTAAGCCTTTGGTCGCTCGGAAATTCCAGCCAAATCATGTAATATCGTGGTTGTAAAGGTTCCCCAGCATGTATTGATGTGCCGTGCATGCTTGCTGCCTAGGGCACCAAAAGCCCTGACCCCACGACCACCTTTTCACCGGCTCAAATGAACCGTCTGGAACTTGAGGTGTCGCATTCTGACGGCCCAGTAATCGAAACCTGGTATTAAAACGGTCTACCCAAAGTCAAGAGTTTCAAGGGCGGATATCCACACCCATTTCATGTAGACTGTGGCACAGCCGGACAGCCCAGGCATGGCAAAGACGCGCGGACGAAGGACCCCGGGAGAGCCAACGCGCGTTGTGAGAGCGCAGCTAGATCTTCAAAGCCCAGGGCATGCCAATGCAAGTCCTTCCCAATGTGCGGCTGCACTGGCATCATGCCAGGAACGATAAGACGCCCCTCAGGCAGCGACAGGCCAAGGCAACTTGGCCCCACTGATGCAACACTGGGCTGGCTGGCAGACGGCGCCCGCCGTTGGCTGCGTCAAGGTCCTCGACTGATGATAGCTCTGCATGAAGGCCAAAGGTACAAAGAACAGCCTCTTTGAAGACCTGGTTGGCCAGGACGATTTCGTGGATGACAACATTCACCCTCTGCCAGGCCGGATCCTCCAGATTACTCAAGCACTGGCTCTGCAGTGGCACCGCTGCCTCCATTGACCTGTCGCTGGCAGCCAGCACCGCGGGGATCTCTGCGCCCACCAGAGCTGCCCCAAGCGCTGCCACGGCTGGCCGCACAGACCCGCCACTGGCGGTTGCTGCGAGCCGAGCATCACTCTCCTCAAGGTGTCTTCGAGGTCTGGCACCGGGCCTTTCAGCTTGCCGCCAGTGTCGCGCCGCACCAGAAACTCAATCTGCAACTCCTGACTCAACACGGCCAAAGACCACGCCTCACAGTGCGAGGTTTGCCACTCTCCGGCAGAAAGCCGCCTCTTGCAGGCATCGCCATTGCCAGACTGCTGGACTGCAGCCTCACAGCTGGCCGGACCTGCACCAAGTCGTTCACGGCAAGCTCCAAGTTGGCCCTCGAGCTGCCTGCCACTGTGAGCGCGGCAGCCTCCAGCCGCCGAAAAGCCCTGGCAAGCATCTCCATCTTGTGCACTCCGCAAATCTCGACGGATTTTTCCGCCAGTGCCCTGTGGCTGCTCCAAAAGCACTCCCGCGCGGCATTCCAGTCCCCGCGCATGACAGGGCCTGCTGGCTCCACAGCTCAGAGGGCACCACCCTCGCCGGCAAGAACTCCCACTAAACGCTCCGAGGCGCTGATCAAGGCGGCGGGCCACGAATGCACCGCCGCCGGGCGTGCACTGAGCATCTCTGCCAGCCGCCACTCCGCACCTGCAAGAGGTGTCCACGAACGGCGCTGTGTTCGTGCACGCTAGGTCTGATGGAAACGGCGCGCGCCCTCGACGCTCTCCGACCTACCGATGCCTTGCCGCATGAGAAACTCCATGGGCACTTCCTGCGATAAGGCACGCAGCGCTAAAGCCTCGTGAATTGAGGTCTGCCAGTCTGCTGTGGTAGCCACGGCTTGCCACAGCACCCAGAGTTTGCAAAGCATCGAGGAAAGGCCAGCGGACAGCTGCAACCTGGCCAGAGCCTCAAGCCCAAAATCCAGCTGCAGTGCAACTCCTGGTGCAGGGCCACGTCAAAAAACACACACACACAGAGACACAAGAGCTTTGAACTACGAAATCCCTCATTTTGTCCACAGCGCAGCCCGCCATGTTCTGGCAGCGCGCCGCTTCCTGAAACACAGACATACAAGCTTCTCTTACACTATCTCACGGATTTTATCTCATCCTCTCAAGTGCCGCCAGGATTTGGCCCAGAGTGAGCGGCAACTTGCTCGAGCATAACCCTGCCCCAACAAACTCCTCTCTCCGCTCTCAATCCAGCATCCGATTGGACAAACCATCATCCACATTCCGCCTGACTCTTCTTCTTTTGGTTTGGCCTTTCAATCCACTTCAAAGGGGGGTATTCATCAAAAAAAAGGCGCGCCCACTTCACTCCCGCCCTCCCACGCCTTGCCACCTGGTCGGCTGGCCTCAGGGCAGAGTCTCGACGCGGGGCGTGGCGGGTTCGAGAGACGGCGCCGGGATCTGTTTTCCACTTCCCGCACTCGGCGCGCTCGGGGCACGGAGCGTCGGCCGGCGCCCCTGGTGGCTCCGGCGCGTCCATTTTCAGACGCAGGGCAAAGGCCTCCAGGTCGTCTTGGAAGTTCCGGGGGCACCTCGCAGCAGGCCGCGCCAAGGAGCAGAGCTCCAGCGCGTGCGGCAGAGACAGCTGCTCGTGTTTCATCAGATACGCCACCGCCAGACACGGCGAACGAGCGATGCCACCCTGGCAGTGCACCAGGACGTGGCCGCGCTGCCGCTCCTCATGCACAAAGTCGCAGGCGGCATCCAGGTACTGCAGCATGGAGCCGCCATCATCTTCCACTGGGACTCGGTGGTACTTCAAGTCCTGCGCTCAGCGCCCAAAATCGCGCGGCGCCCAAAATGCGCTGTTTTGTTTGGTTGTTTTTTCTCCGCAGCTCGGTGTCCTGAAACATGGCCTTGGCGCCAATGGCGCACACACTTGCGATGCCGGCGCGGTCCAGCAGCTGGCGATCCGCCGCGGCTTGCCTGAATCTGCACTCAGGCTGTACTCACATCACATCTCACACCTCGCCTATTGCCCAAGTAGAGGCCCGGTGCCAAGCGCACCAGGGCGCCGCTGCTGTGCTGGCTGCGGGCCCAGCGCAAGAGCTCGGGCACCTCGCCCTCATCGGCCAATCCTGCGGAGAGACGTGTTCGGCATCTAAACCCTCGGCCTAACTCGCTTTCCTTGTGAGCGGGGCACGTGTGTAAGCGCAGGGGGCAAGCAACCTTCTTTTGTGCTTGGGGGCAGCTGGGGCTGAGGGATAAGCGCAGGGTGCTTCTTGTGCCGCAGTCCTGCCGCCACCTCCGACATCTTTGGTCGCTGCACCGGCATGGGGGGCCAAACGCTTAAACATTGGGCCGCGCTGGGGCCAAACCGCGGCCTTCCTTTGAAGCCAAATGGAACACGTCAGCAGCTTGCTGACTTGCGGCCTGTGAAGCCGGCGGTGCTGAGACTGGAGCCCAAGCCGCCCAAGCCGCCCATGCGCCTTGGTGATCCGCGTGCTTCCGCATGCTTCAAGAATGAGCCCCGTGATATGAGCGCGCGCACCCACTTGGGCTGTGGCCGGACACAACTCGGGGAAAGGCGAAGGGAAAGGGAGGCGTCGAGCAGCAGCCCGCATGGCCGAACAGCTGCATGCCCCATGTGACTCACTACAAAGTGAGAGAAGTCACCTGGAGCTCTTGCCCAGAAAAGCTTTCGCATAAACTGCAAGTTCAATCGGCCACTGGGAGTCTTTCTGCCGCTTTGAGACGCAACTCTGAGCTGCCCGTTTTGGACTGCTCGTGAAACTTGGAGCTGCACTAAGACCGCTCTGGGTTCTTGAACTGCTCCAGAAGCATACCACACGGCTTGCCCACCTGACAATCCCCCGGATGCAAGATGCAAGATGCAAGATGCAAGGGGAGTTCTCAGGGCAGAGCATCAGAAAGACATATGCCAAAAAAACGTGTTGCGCAGCATTGGCAACAAGTGCGTCTGCCGGAGCTAGAATTGTCTGATTCTCGCGGATTCAATCACTGGATTGCGTTTCAACAGCAGCTCCGCTCGCCCCCATCCACCCATTCGCAGCCTTCTTCTTGAACTCTTCCATGTAGAGTTTCCTGGGAGGCCACCGTCAGCTCCATTTGCGGCATGAGACTTAAGTGGATGGAGTGAATGGCCAAGCTGACTGCCAAAAATGGCTTACGAATAATCCGCACTCAAACAGGCCGTGATGCTTTTGCTGCTCGAGCAAGTCCACCTTCTGGTTGGCAACATTAATCTGCTCCCTGAAACGGGAGAGGTCACCCTCGAATCATTCCGCAAAAAAAGATGAATAAAAACACATACTCACCTTCGTCTCAAAATAATGGTGTGCCCCTGCAACGGGTGGTTTTCCTTTGCCCCCCAGGCGCCAGCCCCCAAAATCGGTACCCTGCGCCTCCCAAAAAAAAAAAAACAACAGAAAGACGGCACGCCGGCAGGCGGGGGACGAGACTCGTCCCGAGTCCCCGAGTCCGCCGGCCTCAGCTCCCGGATGACCCTGTCGCGCTGCTTGGCCTCTGAGCTCAGCTGGTACCACACCTGCACGGCCAGCGCCCAAAGGCGGGGCGGGCGGGGGCCGGGCGCCGCTGGGCCCAGGGCGGGAGAAAGCCCGCCTCGTTTTGCTCGCCCTGGCGCTCTTCCACATCCTGCGTTTTGCAGACTGGGAACTTCGTATGTGACATCTTCTGACATATGATTCTTTGTGATTCTGGGCACCTTGATTGCATCCTTCTGCCGCTGGTAACCTGCAAGGAACGAACGCGTGAGTCTCGCAAACCAGCTCAGCCCAAAAACAAGAAGAGATTGCCCAAGTACAGTTAGCATGTTGGTGACTCCCCTATGCATTACCATGGAACCCTCAAACCGGTAATGTTTGGGAGATCCCGGCTTGGTTTCATGTTAACTTGCAGGCGGGAAGACGTACAGCTTGTTGCATCCCAATGTTCGCGATGCAACACTGAATACCAAGGCACTCTCCAGGATATCTTTTCTCGCGTCGACTGTTCTTTGGTACAGCGTGTCTTTCTTCTGCAGCTCGTCCTCCTTGAACCTGCGAAAAGGTGATGCCAGCCTATGCGCGTTTATTATTAGTATTGTTATTATGATTATTCCTATTATTATTCCTATTCCTTTTCGCAAATGCAAAGATGCGGGGCACATGATCTCGTCTTTGTGGCGCTTCAAGGACTTTTGCACCTGACACGTCCGCATCGAGACCTCCGCGCTTTCAAACACAGCGCTTGAAACCTCGAGCCTTGGAAAGCTCAGAGGAGACCGCGTCCCGCTCCTTCACCGCGCTCTCATACTCCTCCACCTGCACGTGTCTGCGCACGACAGGCGCGCCTGAGCGCAGAAACTTTTGCTCTGCCTGCTGCCGGAACATGGAGGACAGCATCGCGGCGTCCGCAGTGAGGCGATCGACCTCTGACCAGGTCTCCTTGAGCAGGACCTTGATCTTCCTGGCGCAGCTCTTGGTGTATAACATAGATCTCGAAGAGCTGGAGCAAAGCCCATCTGCGGCACACGTTCTGAATGAAAAAATCCCCATCTGCGGCCAAACTGCTCCAAGCGGGGCAGGTTCTCATTCGTCACCTGCGTAAGAGCTGCGCGCAGTCGCGCGCAGGTTTCCTGAAACCCGGTCCAGGGTCGGAGGGTCCGAGCCTTCTGGTTCCTCTCCTTGAGGTCCTGCAGCTCCTTCTGCACGTTGTTCTGCTCCGCCCGCAGGCTCGTGAGCTCCTTCAGGCAAAGCAATCTTCAGGGGAGATGGCTCCGACTACCACTACCCACAAGGGCAGCCGCTCTATAGCTACCAAGTAAAGGGGGGTAGTGGCTTGGAAGCCAAGTCTTCGCGTGCTGGGAGCCAAACACTCTCGAGCTTGTGCTTCTGGTGGAGCAAGTGGTTGTGAACGAGCTCCTGCGGGCATGCTCCCCGGGCCCCAGCGTGCTAGTTGAACCCATGAACCTTCTTTCCATTTAAACATTGTTCTTCTTTCAGGTCTGCTTCATCTTCTGTCTCGGCCCTCCCCTCGTTTCTCTTCTCCTTCTCCCCGATCTTGGCATTGAGCTGCTCAAGGCGTTGGTCCCAGGGCGTGTGGCCTTGGCACCCGGTCACGCACGCGAAGTCACCGAGGCAGCGTCCTGCGGCGGCCGAGCGGCGCTGCGCCTTGCTGGTCTGCAGCTCATGGTCCAGCTTGGAGACTCGGTGCCCGAGCTTTGGGCGCGTTTCGGGCGACGGCTCGGAGATGTTCGGATTTCCATCTTTTGATTTTGGTCGCCGCCTTCTTTGGTGTTTGGTCGCCACCCTTTTGATTGGCGCCAAAAAAGGTGGAAGAGTAGTCAAAGACCCCCACACTTGTCGAAGAGCTCGGTGATCTCTTTGCGGAGGTCCTCGCTCTGGACATGCCTGACATCCGCCAGCTTTCAGCTTGTTTCGCAGTTGCCGAGCTCCGCACGTGTCCCGCCACTTGATGCTCTTGCCGAACCTGGTGCAGCACATGCTGATGGCTCGAGTCATGCATTTAACATCACCTCGTGCACCTCATGCACCCCGGCCCTACTTTCAATGTGCGCATGGCCCCTTGCCCCAGTGCAGCCGGGCCGCTTCATGCGGCGCAAGTGCTTCTCCATGGAATGCCTCAAGCAAATCGCCAAGCCATGCCTCCAAACGTGGGCCGGGCCAATGCAGCCAGCACACAACTCCTTGGGGCAAAATGTGATGGCAGCTTCCTATGATTACTACACATTGGTAATGCCAATGCATCCGAGTGTCAGCGAAAAGTGTCCGGAAGCGATCTGGCAGCGTGGACGGCTCTGAGACGACATCGTTGCCCACTGCATGTTTGCTCCTGTCAGCCACCAGTGCAAGCCTGGCACTCTGGCATGCATCAGGCCCCCACTTGTCGTATGTGTAAGGTCCAGGATCTGTCGCCTGCGGCAAAAACCGTTCTACGCTGAAGACTTGCCAACAAACCGCGGGGGAAAAAAAAGTAAGCAAGCAACAGACTGCCAACAAACTAATCCAAGTTGAGATGCACAAGCGATGCCGGAGAGCCTTGGGCAGGCTGGGGAGCGCGTACAGCTCAGGCAATTTATCCTCAGCTTCGCGCAGGTCAAAACTGATCCAGAACAAACATCTCATCGGCCGGCCGTCTTCGCTGCCAACGCCTTCACCTGCTCCTTGCGTTTCAACTCCGCATCCCCCAGCCCCCGGCCATGCCCAACCAAGTCTTGCGAGGCCATCCTGTAGCCGCAGGAGGCCCTCCGGCGGTGCCTCCCGCTGCAGCTCCAGGTGCAGGACCTGTCGCTGTCTCTTTGCCCTGCGGTGCCATGAGGCCGGAGGCACGCGCCGCTTGTTGGTAGAGGATGGACTCAATCCTGACGCATGCCAGCCCATCGGCCCTCGACCGGAAATGGGAAGGCCACTGCGCGACTGCCAAGTTGCAGGGCCATGAGCAGCATGTCCCGGAAGTTCCTTAGCAGACCCATGCTTTATGCAACAAACACGAACGATGGCAGCGTCCGGCAAAACAAACCAACTCCCCGGTCAGCTCGCCCATAGGCATATAAAAAAGCGCAAACGAGAGCAATGCGGCTGGGACACAGCAAGGAGACAATGGCCGACACAGAGGGCAGCCGCTCTTTCATGGCGGCCGCAGCGAACTCCTGCGCAAATACATCACGTGTGCTCATGCTACACCTTTCGGTGCTTCGACACCCGGGAATTGAAAGAGAAACCACCACCACTCCCCCCCCCCAACAGTTAGGGTAGGCCTTGCCCATCTTTTTGTGGTACCCGAGCGTGACCCCCACCCTACGCAACATCGGCATTTTTCACCCTTTTTTTCACTATTCAAATCGTCATCCTTATTCATTATGCATATTTCCACTCAAAACATTTCATAACAGTCTCAACCTCAAAATCCATCAAAAAAGTCACATTTTCTCATGTTCTATTCCATCATTCTTGTCATTGTTAGGATGCTTGAGTGGAAATAGGAGTATAGGGTGGTTCATATGATATGGTTATTGATGGTAGGATGCATGGGCAAGGTTAAGCTCATTCATAAAAAAAATCAAATAATATTGTTAAAAAAAATATCTTCAAAAAAAATAATAATTCAAAAACTAAATTTTCAAAAGAACAATCAAAAAATAATATTTTCAAAAAAAAGTAATTTTCCAAAAAATAAATTCGCAAAAAAAAAACAAAAATATTATTCCAAAAATTATGATAAATTATCTTACAATATTTTATCATAAATTTTGTAGAAATATTATGGGCAAGGTTATGTTCATTCATTAAAAAAGAAACACAAAAACAAATTTTATAGAGTATAACTATGGTATAATGAAAGGTTATAAAGTTTTACAATGTTAATTTATATTATAATAACATAATATAAATAAACTGTCGCCCCAAAAAAGGGGAACCCCACCTAATTTCAAGAAAAACATGCTGTTTTGTCGTTGGATTATTATCTATGAATAAACCCCCGTATCTTCATCATAGTCAATTTGATAAAATGTCATAGTTGAAGCCTTCGGTTCTTTAATTTCTTTGTTATTAAGTTTGTTTAAATAAATATTTCTTTTATTTTTATATTCACCATTGGTTCTATCTACTTCTTTACTTTGATAATTGTTTGTTAAAGGTTTCTTCTTTTCCATTTCTTGCAAGATTTCTAAAATATTCTTATTCTGTTCTAAAACCTTGTTCAGTTTTTTAACAATCTTTTCTAATCCTTCATCCATGTAAATATATATATTATATTATAAAATAAAACTTTTAAAACTAAACTTTTATTTTACAAAATCATATATCATTATAAGTCAATTCAAAATTAGTTATTGTGTAACTCGTTAAATTATTATTCAATTTACCAATTAAATTACAAATAATAGTTTTTCTAAATTTTGAATATTTATGAAACTTTTCAATATTATCTGTAATATAAATTATTAAACATTTAATACATTCAAACACATTAACAACATTAATGTTACTATTTTTGTAAATATTGTTCATTTTTCTCAATGTAATTTCATAAAACTGAATAGCATTTTTATTATCATAATTAGCAATAAATCTTAAAGTATATGAATATATTCTTTTACAAAAAATTTTTAAATCTGATTGTTCAAATAAATCAGCATAATTAATAGAATTTCTAAAGTCATTAACAAAATTAATTAATATATCATTTTCGTTATATTCTTCAATAAAATTATTTCAATTCTTTTACATCAATGAATTTAAGAATATTATTTATAACATCTTGCATTATAAATAATAATAGAACTAATTTTAATTATTATTTTTTCATCATTTCGCGTATCGTTTCCTGTGTTTCCTTATCGCCATTATCGGATGGAGTAACTCCCCTCCCAAAGCGTATAGCAATATTATGAACATCTGTTTCTAAGTTGATACTGTCTTTGGTTTTATCAATATTCATTTTCTTATCATTCTTACTTAGTTTGAAACTTGTCGGAATACACGAGCATTTACAATTTCCTTTCTTTTGTATTTCTAATTCATTCTTCATTTCTAACATCTTTTTACACATCGGACAAGCAAACTCAATAACTGATGTTTCTTTAACAACTTCTTCTTTTTCTTCATCAGTTGAAGAAACAACTGGTTCAGTCTTATTCTTTTTCTTTCTTCCCATTTATATTAATATTTACATTTTTATTTTTGATATATTGTATCACAAACTTAATTAATTCTAAAACAAAATAACATATTTTTTTAAATCTATTATCAGTTATAACAACTTGTTCTATATTCTCTACTTCATCTATTATATTGATATAATCTGAATAGCTTCTATTCATATAAAATAATCAATATAAAATATTTTCTAAATAACTTTAATATTATTTTATTATGTCAGATGTTCCAATAATAAAGCCAATAAACATAACTGAATATGAATTCAAACAATCTAAATATGAGCACGTGCCAAAATTACCATTTAGAAGTATTATAGTTGCGAGTTCGACGGGAGGCAAAACAGTTTTAGTTCAGAATCTTATTTTAAATGTTTATAGAAATTCATTTGCAAGAATATTTATATTTTCACCCAGCGTTCATAATGACCCAACTTTTACAGAAGTAAAGAAATATATTAGGGATGAACTACATGTAGATGATGAAAAAGAACAAATATATTTTGATAATTATAATCCAAGTGATTTAGAAAATGTAATTGAAAGACAGAAGAAAATAATTAATTATATGAAATCTAAAAAGATAAAGAAACTGCATTCAATATTAATCGTTATAGACGATCATGCCGACGATCCTAAATTTGTTAGATATAGTAAATTATTACATGGATTATTTACAAGAGGTAGGCACGATGCAGTAAGCGTAATTTGTTCAACACAAAAATACAATGTTTTGGCGCCTATCATTCGTTTAAATGCCAGTTCATTATATATTTTTAGGTTGAAAAATGCCAGTGAATTAATGAGTTTTATTGAAGAAAATAGCGCCATTGTTGACAAACAGCAATTATTAGATATGTATCATCAAGCAGTGAATGACGCACCTTATAGTTTCTTCTACGTGAATATGAATGCTAAGAATGTGAATGACATGTTTTTCTCCGTTTTGAACAGGCATTTCAAATTACAAATGATGAATAAAGATATTCTAATTTAATATAATATAATAATATGCTAATGAAACTATGTAGATGTGGTGGATTTTATCGTAGAGGTAATTACAATTTTCATACTAATTCTTGGATACATAAACTTTATAAAGTGTTAAAAAGACGACCAACAGACGAGGAATTATTAAGATTTCAAAATAATTTTGTTGATGAAGAAGATTTAATAGATGATATGTGTAGCAACACCTCAACAAAATTACCCGAAAGTGAAATGACAGATTATGATAGTAATTAATAATATTAATGTATGTTAATATTATCAATTTAGAATAAAGAATAGCTACATAAATTTAAGGCAGGAAATTTAGAATATGTTTTATCTTTTTTACATTCATTAACTTGTTCTAATGTATTTATTATTGCTTTCAATGATTTTTTTTGTAGAATATCAATTCTTGACATTTCACTTATCGTATTTACATCTATATCTTGTATTACTTTAATAGCCTCTTCATCATCAATTTCTACTGGTTTTGATTTACTTGAACCCATTATATATATAATATTATTTAGATTTTAATTTTTCAAAATTATGTTTTTGTTTTTCTTCTCCGTCTTCTTCTTCTTCGTCTTCAGTTGGTGCTGGTATTTCTGTTGGACTTTCAGATGAAGAACTATGAACAGTAATAGGTGGCGAACTATGAACACTAATAGCTTCATTTGATGAATTGCTACTGCTACTTTGTGCATTTCCTGCTGTTATTTGATTAACTAAATCTGCGATATTTATTGTTGTTGCAATTGCGCTATGTGATAAGTTTAATATTACATCTGCTACTGTAGCGCCGTTGTGTAGCATTATTTCTATCATTTTTGTCAGTTTGAATCTTTTTTCTTCTTCGTCGCTGTCCTCCTCGTCTGGTGGTTTCTTTGGCGGTGGTTCTGGTGGTTTGTTGTTGTCGAGCATTTTAGTAAAGGCTGACACCATTGTGTCGCGTTGGTTTTTCAGTGTTTGTGTTGCTTGCGTTCTTGTTGGTTCATGTCTTTTGTATGTGTTGTGCCAAAAGTTTTTAAGCATTATTTTAAACATATTATCTTGGTTTTCCTTTACCTTAAACGCTTCAAATGTCATATTTAATTGTTGATTTGCATCATTATATAACTTTTCTTGAGTCTCTCTGGTTTCTGTGGCGATTGTATCTGTATTGGTTGCAATGTCAATAAATTCTCTCGGTATGCCCTTTTTCATCATTTTCGGTGGTTGTGTTGTTGTTGGTGTGTTTGGTTTTGTTAGGTTATGTATTGAAAAACTGTCGTCGTGATCATAATTATCATTGAACTTCTGCTTCTTTCTTTTCAGTATATTTTTAGTTAATATTATCATTATTATTATTATTATTTATATTTTTATTTCTTACCTTTACCCTTAAAACTTGCCTTGAGTTCTTCTATTCTACCTCTGCTTAAATTTGCTATCCATCCGCCATTATCAATAGTGTCTAAAATCATATCCACTAAATATTCTTTGTATGTTCTCGCCTTGCCTCTTCCCTTTTGTTTCAATTCTTCTTGTATTTCGCTTTCTTCTGGCACTTGAATTCCTCTTAAATAAAACTGAAATTTAATATCATTTACTGTTAAATTAGGGTTGTCTTTCCAGTAAGCGGGACTAATAGTATTATCTATTGTTGTTTTAAACAATGGCGTCATTGGCAATGGTGGTGGTTGTTGGGTTGTTGCACTTGATGCTCCTGTTGCTTGTTGAACTGGTGTCGCGTCAAAATTGTCATCTACTGCTTGAGGTGATTGTTCAACATCTTCTACGTGCATTGTTTGCTGGTCGTCTGCTACTGCTCCACCTGCTGGCGCTTGTCGTGGTTCTGTTGGTGCTGATTGTCTGTTTGCCACCATTCTATGAAATAATGTCCCGCCCATCTCTCTTAAATTTGATGCCATCGCTCTGCCTACTTCTTCCGCTTTCCGCTTTGTTGCAGTTGCTATATCTTGTAATTGTGTATCTACCATTGCCTCGTGTTGTCT